GCAAGCGCAAGCGGAGGCGCAAGCACAAGCACAAGCACAAGCACAAACACAAACACAAGTCGAAGTCCAAGTCCAAGTCAGCAGGGTCAAAGAAGTCGAAGAGGTCTGCGTCTCCGGACTCGGCTAAGGACCCCCGCCCGTCCAAGCGTCAGAGAGGTTCGACTGGGGACTCGGCCGGCGGCCCAGCCGGGGTTTCAGTCGCTTCCAGCTCAACCAGCAACTCGGCTGGAAGCGCTGGTATCCCATCGAGCTCAGATGTTTCGCCGTCGCCTATTTCTGCTGGTCCAGCTTCAACCCTGTCGGTGCCTATCGTGACCGCTCACGGCGCTGGCGCCCACGTTCTCCCTCAGTTGCCTGCAGCTTTACGCTATTCGCTCGCTCAGCTGCGCACTCGAGCACGCCAGGCGGTCGGCCGAGATGCCCGGATCACTCCCCAGCTAGCTCAGCTGCGTGACATCCGCTTCGTTCATTACGGGTCTCGGCGGTGCTGGGAGGCTATCCTCAGCCATCAAACAGCCCAAGTTACTGTGGATGACGCGTCGGGAAAGGGCAGCGTGCCGGTTACGCTCTGTTCCCTTACTGGGATTAAAGCGTTCGCGGACGTCTACCATCCGGACCACCCGGCTCAGCGGCTTCTTCGTTTGCTTCCCAAGACTCCAATCTTCTTCTCCCCTCAAGTCCTCGACGATGCCAAGCGCCGATTGGCGAACTCGGTGAAGTCGATGACCTTGATGGAGCGTCTCGCAGAAGTGTTCGTGAAGATCCGTGGGGGGGGGGGGGCTCCGGACTCGGTTTGTGACAAAGAGGGTCCCACCAAGTTCTTCGTAGCACTGTTAGAGCGGTGTCACTGGATGGTCGAGTCGAGCGTGCTGATGGGGCTCCATCCGGCTTTTCACACAGGGCTCCCGTATCACGTGATAGCCGAGATGTATGACACGTGGGTGTTGTACAAGTTGGCTCGCAAGCGTCGGGGTGATGCCCTCCGAAGTCTCATGGCTATCCTGCCGGACGACCTGTTCACTGCAGTGATGAAACTTCTCGGCGGGCTTGCTGCCCCGGAAATCGATGCGGAGCTCTTCTTCGAGCCGTCGGTCCCGTTGTATCCGCTGGTCAATCTCGCTTAGATTCCCGCGGGCAGAGACTGGTGTGCTGAAGCCGAGTGCATAGATGACTCTGATCCTTGGAGAGCTTGGTGGCTGACTGACCCGGCGACCCATCCGCACAACACGTGCTTCCGGACTCGCAACTTGGAGTTCATGGTTTTCGCTCCTGCTGGGGTCGACCCGCGTATCGTCGAGGATGCTATCGAGGAGGACGTGGATCTCGACGAGCCAGCTCCACTCCAGATTTCGTCGAGTGCTCCAGTCCCAGCCAACCGAGCTGGGTTTCACATCTTTCAAGGTTGTGAAGTCGGCGAACTCGGCTGGGCTGCTGGTGATGTGGATTCGATGGCTCCGCTGATCGGGTCGCCCAACCTGTGCGACCCTTCTCCGACAGCGTCCCTCTTTGGTCCGGCGTCGCCTAGGTCTCCAGCTGAGTCGAGTGCAGGATCGCGTGTCCCTCTGGCTAGTGACTCGGCTATTCCGACCTCAAGCTCAGCGGACTCGGCTGCGCAGACCGCAGAAGCAGCGAATAGCTCGACCGGCTCGGCTACGAGCACTGGAGGTTCGATTGGTCTTTTCGCAGCGGCTGCTGCTACCGTCGTGTCTTCTGCCGCGCATTCACAGGGTTCTTCGTCTCCGTAACTTGCGGCTCAGCCGCCGAGCTCTTCTTCCTTTCCCATCCTTCTTCGGCGTAATTCATGTAATGTATGCAATTTGACGCAGTAGCTTCCTTCGCCTCAACTCAGCCTGCTGTCTTCACGGAGTTGGCGGGTTCATCATTTTGGTGCAATAGCTTTAATCCTCGTCTGCAACTCGCACCATTTGCAGACGGTTTTCACGCTTCTTCTGCCGTAAGTAGTCGAACAATAATCCACCACACGACAAATTCGACAGCGGCTCCCAGGTTGGCTCATCATAGCCGACCCACTTGACCTTGAACTTCCGCTGAGTTCTGGAGGTGCTCGTAGAGAGCGGCAACTCGTCGTCCAGGATGGCTTCGACTTCGTATTCGTTCATCACTTCATCAGGCTCCCAGCTATCTTCAGGAAGGAGTTCCTCGTCAAAGTCGAGACGATCCGACTCGGCTAAATCGGCTACTACCCTAGTTGTCGGTCGCTCGCCGAGTCCCGTGACTGCCTTCAGACGTGACACATGTACCACAGGGTAGAAACGGTATCCGCTCTTGTCCGGATGTTCGAGCTCGTAAGCAAACTCCTCCACCTTCTTCTTCACTCGGAATGGTCCATGCCATCGATGTGCCAACTTCTTGGTCAAGCCAGGTCTGACTCGTTCCATGAACAGCCAGACTTGGTCACCTTCCTTGAATAGCGACTTCCTCGACTCGGCTATCTCGTCACCTACCTCAGTCGACTCGGCTGCTCCCTCGGGTGAGTTCGCTGGGGTGTCCGTCCCTTCCTCTCCGGTTGGACAGCTCTCTGCTCGACTCGGCTGAGTCCGTCATTGTGTTCCTTCGCTCTCCGTTACTTCTCCTTCAACTGGAACTCGGCCGCAAGCTTCAAAGCCACCTCTCTCTGTCGGTTTGCTTCCCTGCGCCATTCGGCTGCCCCCGTTGAGTCAGCTGAGTTGCCCCTGCCGAGCCTGACTGACTCGGTCATCGCCTTGAGTGTAGACCGAGCGTCCCATCCGTGTACCAGGTAGACCGTGGTCTCCCGCCTAGTCGAGTCTCTAGAATTGTTGATGGCATGGACGAGCTTCTCGGCTACATCATCCCAGTCGGCTTGGAGAGGGTCTTCCACGTACACACGCACAGTCTGGATCATGGTCTTCACTGAGTGTTCTTGCTGACCGTTGGCTTGTGGTCGGTAACTCAGCGTCGCTCTCGACTTGGACTGCATCATCTCCGAGAACTTCTGGAACACTTCACTCATGAACCGGGGCTCTCTGTCGTGGCGTACCAGTGATGGAGCTCCAAACCTCCGGAACACGTTCTCTTCGAAGGCCTTCGCTACCTCAAGTGCCCCAGTCTCACTCATCGTCTTAGCAATCACGAACCCGGTGAAGTGGTCTTGAAACAACAGGAGTGCAGTATTGCCCCGCCGAGTCTTCGGCAGTGGTATGACAAAGTCCATCGATACCACGTGGAACGGTCGCTCGGGCACCACGTTGCCGGGTGAATAGCCCTTCAGGTGCGGTTTGCTCTTACTGGTACTGCAGTCTTCGCACGCTTGGACATGTTTGACCACGTCTGCGTACAACCCAATCCAGTAGTAGTCGGCTCTGACCCTGTGGTATGTCCGCACGATCCCTTGGTTGCCTCCCTCGATGCAGTTGCGGCAGTTCTGCAGGATCTTGTCTATCATGGTCGTCGGAACCACCACTCGAAGGGATAAGCCCAGTTCGCCGAGTTCGCCAGGTGGTCTGGCCTTGCCTTGTCGGTACAGTAGCCCGTCTTCGCTGAGGACAAACTCATCGACAACTTTCCCAGCGTTGTGAGCTCGGCGATGTGTGAACTGCGCATAATCCCCTCTCAGGTAGGTCTTCAGGTCGGCCCATCGTTGTTCCTCGTCCTGGGCTCTTGCTATTCGTAGGCGGCGCTCAGCTTGGACCACTACCGGATCGATGTCCATGGCGTTGGGCTCCCGGGCTTCTCCGAGCTTGGCTACCAGCTCAGCTGGGTTCGCTGGTGGTGCTGCGCTACCGAACTCGGCTTCTCCCGTCACCCGCTGTCTAGCGGGCGGAGGTCGGCTATCTCGTTCAAAGTGATTACGTTCAGCCTCCTCATTCGTAGCTGGGTTCGGGACTGAGTGTTTTGCTGCTTCGTCTTCGAAACGGACTCGGCGAACTTGACTCCTTGTCATGGCAGCCATCTTAACACCCTCAGCCGAGGTTGCTGCCGAGTCCGTGTCCATGTGTGGTGTGGTAATTCCACTAAAATCCTCCTCTACCAAAAGGTATTAGAGACACCAACAACACGCTAACCCGCAAAGGTAAGCGCTTATTGGATCAACACCTGAAGACCAGGAACGATCCCTTACACCGGGTCGGTTGCAAGCGCCTCTGTGCACCTTAGGTTGTCTTCGGTCAACCCAAAAACCTGTACCACTAGCCACGAGCTAAGGCTAGGATACTATGTAGCGCTTTCGGGCAACTCCACTGCAGTCCCTCAGAAAGGAAGGGTACCGGCGTGTTAGGCCTTATACAGGGGGACCAAGGCAAAACCTCGGTAGGTAGACTAATACACTCAGGGATACTCTAATCCCACAAATATATACCGAACGATACTCTAATACCGTTCCTGCCTCTCCGGCCACGCCAACTCTTGGCGCTGCCAAGGAAACTCTCGGTCAATGTACGATAAGCTCCCCGACAGGCATCCACACGCAGCCGAGCGTGTCCAGGCACAACAATAAGCTAGCTACCCTTACCGAAGTCGGACTTGACCCTTGTTGGCTTTGGGGGAAGACTGTCTTTTTATTACTGAGTTGTCTGAGGCCCTGGGGGCCTCGTTCTGGTCATCCTATGATGAGTCCTATGTCCCTATACAAATATCTAGTGTGAACGATCGCAATAAGGCGATTCCGGACACATCAAATGACGACCGCGGCTACACTAATAAGTGCGGCCGAAGTACGTAACTAAATGCATCTGTACCTAAAAGTGGGTACCATGAAGCCTCGATCGGGGTTCTATTAGGACCCGACGAGGCTTCGGCCACTGCCTGTCACTCTACCGAGGATAATGTCATCATCCAATCAGAAGCAGCCATCTCCGTCTCTCGCTTGACCTCGCCTTGATCGCCCCTTGATTGAACTTGATTGTCGGGCTGGCGGGTCAACAGCGTTGGAAACTGCCACTTTCCAATACCACAACTGCCCCCGCCTCGTCACGAGCCTCCCACGCTGGTGAGCGTCTAGGCGTCCTCAGTTCATCGACTCCATGGCTCCTCCGTCGCGTGCATTCGCCGACGCGGCTGCCGCTGCTCTTCGGGCTCTCCAGTGCTCCGGACCGGTACGTTCGTCGCTCCCGCTGCTCCTCACTGTCATTCGGATCCTCGTTGTTGACTCCATCTCATTCTTGATCATCTCAGGGAGCTGTTGATGTCGCCACCGACACTTCGGGTCGTCGTCCGGCGCGCCAGGCTCGTTCGGCGGGTGCCCCCGCCCCTATCGCCGCTGGTGCTGTGCCCCCAGCCCCGGCCGCGCCTGCAGGTGACCCTACGCTCATTCCTGCCGCCTCCGGGACCTCGGTCGACCCTCCACCGGCTCCTCCAAGTAGTCCTGAGTCTGCTGCTGGGGCGACCGAGACTCCCTCGCCGGCAGTTCCCAGTGAAGAGGCTCCCGACTCGCCGCCGACACCGCCGCCAAGCGCCAGCGCTCCACCGTCGCCAACTCCCGCGCCTTCGGTCATGTTGGCAACTCGCGGGGCGTCGGTGGGGGGCGAGGCAGCTGTAGGGGGTCGCGCCGGAGCTGGTGCTGGCCCGGCCGAGGTTCCTCCGACAGCGGTCGTCTTGGGCGAGCAACAGATGCTGGAACTCGCTCGTCTCGTCGTGGGTGTTGTCCCTTCACCTCCAGCTCGAGTCAACGCTGCTCTCGACCACAGCCTGCAAGCTGCTACTAACGTCGGTGAGGTGCTGGCTGCTGCCGGTGCTCCTCCGCGTCTCCCTCTTGCGGAGGCTGATGAACTGGTGGCCCTCCGCCGCGAGAAGGCAGGCAGAGCTCTCCAACGCCAAAGATAAACTCGCTGAAGAGATGAACCTGCGGACCAAGTCGGACTACTTCCTCGTCTCGGCCAACTCCGAGTGCGACCAAGCTCTGGACCTCGACCAGGACATGCGCGTCCAGCTCAGCAACGCCAGCGCTCTGTTGATGCAAGCGAACGCGACCATCGCTCACCGCTGACGTCACTCAGTCGTTGGAGAAGCAGACGCTCGTTGCTGAGGCCGATTCGGCCGCTGCTGTACGTCGGAACACCCAGCTCCACGAGCGTATAAGTGCAAGCCTCGTTACCTACAACACTCAGTTAGAGAGGCTTCGGAAGCAGTTGGCCGACCGCGACCGAGCAAACGTCATCCCTGCACGCATTCAAGCGTTGACGGACGAGAACAACAGCTTGCGGCGAGCGAATTCTATCCTTCGTCGGCACTCGGCAGCACACGGACTCGACGTCGACACCTTGGTCCTGGCCTCAGCCGGCATCTCCGCCGCAGAGATTGATTGGAATCTTCTCGGGCTATCCCCACCGACAGTCACTGTCGAGAGTCCACGCCATGACGAACCCTCGTCAGAGGAGGGAGAGGAGTCCAAGACGACCGACGTGCCGATGGCTGAGTCCACCGAGGCTACGTCCGCTCCCGCTGCTTCGGTGGGCGCTTCTGCTGGTTCCCCGGTCTCCACCGAGTCGTCATCGCGCAAGCGGGGTCGGCAAACCGAGTCTGCTTCCGTCGGGAATACGGCATCCCAGCCTCCTCCTCACAAACGCTTCGACAGACCGTCAGTCGACCTGAGGGCCAGGGCTGCAGCGGCCGCCGCACCATCTAGTCCTCGTTCTGCATCAGGAGAGATTTCCCCGCCTCCTCGGTCGATGGTGCGTCCTCCAACGACGGCTCGCTCAAGCTGGTTGAAGTCTCAGCCTCTCCCGTACGAACACTCAGACGTCCCCTTGTATCCGCGGCTGGCCAGTCGCGCCTCGCCTCCCTCGCCAGCCCCAGCCCAGCAGCAGGAATCGTCTGACGTGGAGTTTGGAGGGGGTATGAGTCCTAGCGACACTTCACAAGATGACCTTGAGCCCGGCGAGATTCCGGGGGTGTCGGCCAGCGCTCAGGGTGTTCAAGGTTCTGCTACCGAGCCTTCCGGTACTGTCATCGAGGTTCCATCCGAGGTTTCGCCTTCGGCGGCGACTTCCGTTCCTTCACCAGTCCCGTCTGGTACAGCCGTCGTTGGCCGTGCCCCTCGAGAATCGGCTGCTGGGGTCACCGAGGGCTCTGGCGGCCCGCCAGACCGTTCACCTAGCGGTGAGTCGCCTCATGAGTCCGAGACTTCCGAGGACCGCGCAGCGTTGTTCCTGGCGATGTTCGGCCCCGACGAAAGAGAGGAAACCTCGGTGGCGCAACCTGTCGCTCCATCGGAGGCTCCTTCTCCTCTGGTTGCCGCGACCGGGGTTCCTGTAGCTTCACAAGCGGCCACCGTGCCACTCCCGAGTCGACTCCACACTCGGTCGGCCTCTGTTTACGCTCGGGCGATGGTAACAGCAACGGTGACAGCTTCACAGTGGGCTGGACCTGCGTCGATTGCCCCAGCAGTGGTTGACGCTTCCGACGTAGCTCCTGGATTGCGGAAGCTCAGTGGTCTTGCTACCCTGTTCTTGGAGCCGGGTTTCACGGCACCCGGAGCGTCGGAATGCTGGCATCTCATCCAAAACGCCAGTGTCCCCCTCGTCTTCGAGGACGACTTGGTCGCCCCCAGTTCAGTGGATGGAATCGTGGAGTTTGGCTTGTGGACGGATCCTGCTCACCCCTTCCAAGTGTTGCGCCAGCTTTTCCCAGACGAGCTTTATTTGATCGATACGACGGGTTTTCCATCCTCGGTGGCTATATCCCGTCGTGCAACTGGTCGGGCCCTTCTCGTTCGCCTATGGCGGCAGGGGTACTCCTACCACTCCACCGAGAGGGGCGACCTTGGTTTCGCCTTGTGGGAGCGTCGCCACTGGATTAGGGGTAAAGCTGTCAAGGCGTATATCGACAACCTCGTCAGCACCCTCGGTCAGCGCAACGTGCAAGTCCTAGCGCTTCGACAAGCGTGGTCCAAGTACCACGGAGAGCGCAGTTATCGTGCAGATCGCTTGCGAGACCAGATGCTCCACAAGGTGTGGAATGGGGCCATTACGTACGACGGACAACCTCCACAGCGCCGCACCGAGGATTTGCTGGAGCCGTCGTACCTGCAATACTCGTTCGAGGTGATGGAGTGGGTCCCCACTACCGACGACTGGGCCTCCGAGGTGGCGGACGTGGATGCCCGCGAGCCGTGGCGTAACTGTTGGTTTCAAGCGCCGGCAGACCACCCCTACAACACGGCTTTCGCCCCTTGCAACGACGTCCCGTTGTTTGTCCCCAACGGATCGACTCGGGAAACCGTGGCGTCATCGGTCGTGGTCGAATCTTCTCTGCGGACTTCGATGGTGGTCGCTCCATGGGTGGCCGAGTTCGCAAACGCTCGTCGTTCTCGCTCTCCAAGCCCCGATGAGGAGACGAAGGAGTTGGGTGAAGCTTCTTCTGCCGCCGGGTCAAGTCTGGGCGTGTTGGCTCAGGCTGTGATGGAGATTTAGCCTCATTAGGCCCCCCGCCAGCTTCACGGTTTCGTTCACGTTCTTTTCCAATGTCGACCGAGGTCCGTGGCGCTTTAGGCGACGCTGCATGTGCTATCCCAATCCAAAATAACGTCATGTTGTTCGTTCCATTTCATAATCTTTTCTCGCGTCAACGCACATCGCATTCAATACTCGGTCGCGGTTCCCAGAGCTTCTTCTCTGCCCTCGACCGCTGTGGCTGCCTCAAACGAGGCTTGGTTCGTAGCTGCGGCAGCCGGGCTTCGTCTTGTCTCCCTGCAAGAAGATCGGGCTTATGCTCGTTGAAGACCGGACTTAATTCGCGGGAGACCTGGCGTACTTACGCTAGCTCCGTTGCGTGTATGTTTTCGCATGACAGCCCAATTTTGACAACTGTACACCCGGTCTGCTGCGGGTATCCGGTGTCGACAGCTTGCATACCCATTTCATCATCAACTCCATACTCAACCACGAAGTCGAGTGCACTTGTTCGTGCTACTTCCATGGCAATCACTGCGTCCGAAGCCTCGGTCGCCCTCCCATTTGCTTCATCATCACTTGTTTCGCCTGTTGAGGGTTTGACCGAGGCTTGCTTGCGTCTTCCGTTGTCCCTGGCTCCATTCCGATATCTCCATTCCATCGTGACTCGTTCGCTTAACACGTAACATGCAGATTCCAGTAACTTTCTTCGTCTGTCACTGCGAGCTGGATAGCCCTCGCAGGCAGTTCAATCATCATCTCCAGTAGCCTCGTTCGTCTGACATCGCGGGCTGGATTGCCCCCGCGAGCAGTTCAATCCTCGTTGGGGCGCAGAATTACTCCTCGTCGGCCACTTGGACCATTTGCAAACGTCGGTCGCTTCGCTTCCGGCGTAGGTAATCGTACAGGAGGCCACCGCACGAGAGATTGGACGCTGGTTCCCATGTCGGCTCGTCATAGCCGACCCCCTTCACCTTGAACTCTCGGAGGGCCCGGTGAGTTCTCGTTGACAACGGTGTCCGGTCATCGAGGATAGCCTCGACTTCATACTCGCCGTCCAGGCGGTCCGGCTCAAAACTGTCTTCAGGCAGTAATTCCTCGTCGAAGTCAAGACGAGTGTCTTCGGTGACCTCACGAGCCAAACGAACCCTCGGTCGGCCTTCGAACTCGTCCACTGACTTGAGCCGTGAAACATGCACCACCGGGTAGAACCGGTATCCACTTCGGTCGGGTAATTCCAACTCACACGCAAATTCGTCGACCTTCTTCTTCACGCGGAACGGTCCGTGCCACCGATGGGCTAGTTTCTTGGTCAGTCCTGGTCGGACCTGCTCTATGTACAGCCACACTCTTCTCCCGGGCTGCAAAGAAAACCTCGTTCTCGTCACTGCAGCTCTACTATGGTCAGGGGAACTCGGTGCCCGGTCGACCGACGTTCTATTCTCGTTGACGCCTGCCATGACTTCCTTCTCCTTCCTGCCAAGCGACGCATTGTGCTCTTCAGCTCTCCGAGCCTTTTCCGCGGCTTGGTACTCCTTGGCCATCCTCAGGGCGATTTCCTGCTGTCGGTTGACCTCTCAGCGCCATGCTAGCGCGTCAGTGTGGCTACCGAAGCCTCGTTTGAGTGACGAGACATTGCCTTGAGTGTCGACTGTGCATCCCACCCATGAACGAGGTAAAACGGAGTTTCCTTCCTCGTCGTATCACGGAGCTATTGATGGCGAAGATCAGTCTTTCGGCGATCTCGTCCCAATCCTGCTGCAGTGAGTCTTCAGCGTATACGCGGACTGACTGCATGATCGTCTTCACCGATCTCTCCTGCTGGCCGTTGGCCTGCGGGCGGTAGCTCAGGGTCGCTCTCGACCGAGACTGCATCATTTCCGCGAAGGCTTGGAAGACCTCGCTCATAAATCGAGGATCTCGGTCATGACGGATCAAGGACGGTGCTCCAAAACGTCGGTAGACACACTCCTCGAAAGCTTGCGCAACGAGTAAGGCGGTAGTGTCAGACATGGCTTTGCCCATCACGAATCCCGTGAACGAGCATTGGAATAGCAGGAGAGCCGTGTTGCCACGGCGACTCTTCGGTAGCGGTATCACGAAGTCCATAGAGACTAGTTGGAAGGGTCTCTCGGCTAGGATGTTCCCTGGCGAGTACCCGCGGAACTGAGGTCGGCTCTTACTTGAACTGCAGTCAGGGCACGACTTAACGTGTTTCTCCACATCGGCATACTGGCCGATCCAGTAATTGTCTCTCGCCGCTCGATGTAGCGTACGGGTAATAACTTGATGACCGCCTTCAAGTGAGTCATGACAGCTTTGCAGGACCTCTTGGATCATCGTTGTGGGCACCCCAAGTCTCATCTTCAACTCGGCTTGCTCGCCGTCACTTGAGCGACGGCTCGTTCTTGTGTAATATAGCACATCGTCCTCGCTCAACACAAATTGGTCCGCCATTTTCCATGCATCTCGTGCTGCTCTGTATCCAATCTTCGCATCAACTCCCCGAAGCACTGCCTTCAGATTCGACTACCGTAACTCTTCATCTTGAGCGGAGGCGATTCTCCTTCGGTGTTCTTCCTGTACTACCAGCGGGTCAATGTCTTCTGCGTTCGGTGGGCCTGGTGACGTGTCGGCACGCAGCGGTGAAGCTTCTGCTTCATTCTGAGACTCGTTCGGCACACCATTGGCTTCTACTCGGTGAGATGCGTCTCCCTGATCGGTGACCGAGACTTCATATGCAAACCGGACGTGTTTCTCCTTTGCTCTCGTTTGACGTCTGGTCATCACAGCTACGTGTCCGGGTTCAGTCTCGTTCTGCCGTCTGCGGTCGGTTTCTCTTCGCACAAAATCGAAAAAAAGCTTGCTACGAGGTTTGGCAGAAGCTACCACGGCCCATACTGTGTTGGCCGAGGGTATGTCCTCGACGACGCAACCGTCAGCAGCCTCGTAGATGACTTCAGCGATACGGTTCAGCTTCATCAGCTCTAATACTCGGTTGTCCGACGATACCATCGTAGACTCCTTGCACTCGAGAGTCCCGCTTGCCAGAGAATCGGCCGCAGCGTTAAACTCTCTAACCACATGCAGGTACTTCACCGACCGAAGCTTGGCCGTGAGTTCTTGGTGGTGCTGAGTTGTTGCAGCAATGACTCCTTCCGACAGGCTATCACACCTAGGGCTTGCTGGATCGCGAGCCTCGAGTCGCCAACGACAACTAGATCGTCGGCTCCATGCTGTAATGCAGCAGCGACGCCGTTGTTCATCCCGGTGTACTCAGCGAGGTTGACCGTGGTGTTCTCGAGGTAAGCGCTCGCAGCAAGCACTACTGTCCACTCTGGTAGCTTCCATAGTATCCACGAGCAACTGCCGTATCCACCATTCTTCTCGGTTTTCGCAGACCCGTTAAACGACATAACGAAGCCTCGGTAGGACCGCGGTAGGCGTGCGTAGAGCAGATGCGGGTCCAAACGAGCAGTTGGTGACCCTCGTGTCCGGGGTGTGACGAACGCCAGTGACTTATCCAAGTCAACGAAGATCGTCAAGCCGGCTTGAAGTAGCTGAGCAAACGAACAGTCGGTTTCTTTGACTCGTTCGACCAACAGGTGCCACGGCGACAGCAAGACGGCGAACTGGGTAGCCCGACCGAATAATGTCTTGGACTTGCGGACCCAGTCGAGTGTCGAAAACCGAGTGTAGACCCGGATTCGCTGTCCAACGAGTTGAGTATAACACACCTTCAGTATCAGCAGAAGCGCGAGGACCTCGTTCTCGGCCGGGTGATAATTCATCTCAGCATCCTTCAAAACACGTCCGCAGAAGCGAACGGGGTGTAGTTTGCCCTCGTGCTCTTGCATCAACGTGGAACTTAGAGCCCACTCGTTGGCGAACAACATGACATGCACTTTCTTCTTCTGGTCGAAGTGTCGTAGTATCGGTGCTGTCGAAACCTTCTGTTGGAGCATCGCGAAGCTGTGCTTGGCCGCGGTGAGGTCACCCCCGGGCTGGAAGTCCTCGTCCTTAAGCTGGTACAGCGCTGCTCCATAGACCGCGAAGTCTTGGATGAAGCGACTGTTATAGTTGAGTCCATGGAAGGACTGCATTCCTTTCCTCGATGACGGGAACGGAAGCTCGGCCACCCCAGCCAGCTTCTTAGCGTCCGGTCGGATACCTTCTGCCGAGACTTCGTGGGACAGGAAGTCTACCTTGGACTGCACAAAGATGCTCTTCGAGAAGCTGATACTAATACGGCACTCTTCAAACCGTACCAGCAATCACTCTAGCGTCGCCAAGCACGACTCGAAAGTCTCGGCACCGAAACAGATATCATCCACAAATGACCGGCGACTGAATACTGGTGTCAACGAGGAGTCATCGGGCTCCCCGTTGGCGAACATGTCGGCGATAGGGCTGTTGACCAGTTCTGCTATAGCTCCCTTACCAAGCGAGTTGTCTCGGTCGGCCTCGAACTTGGTCCGGAATGGCTTTGCCGTGCTAGTCGAAGCCTCGTTCACCCCAGCATGAGCTTCCTTGTCATGTTCTTCAGCTAGACGCATGCGCTCCGAGAATTTAAACCATCCTCCCGTCGGTTGGACGAAGCCCCAAAGCGCGTTGTCAATCATGCGTTGATAGATCATCGGTGCGTTCTTCAGGCCGAAAGGCATACGCAACCATTCGAAGTGCCCCAGTGCGCAGACGAAAGCAGAGATCTTCCGAGCTCGTTCGGTCATCATAATCGCCCAGAAGCCGCTAGCGGCGTCAAGCGAGCAAAACCACAAGTACGCCTCCATGTCCGTCAGCAACTCATTCACCAGGGGCATGGCATACTCCATAATCTCGGTGATCGCATTAACGAGTTTGTAGTCGATACACAGGCGGATATCCACCCCATTCTTCTTCACGACGATGACGATTGGCGACGCCCATGGGCTGTCCGAGAAGGAGATAAGCCCGACCTTCAGCAAACCCTTCAGCAATTCGTACAGCTTACCGAGGAAGCGAAGCGGGGTCCGCCGAGCCTTCTGCTTGATTGGCGCGTGCCCCTGCACATTGATGTCACACACGACCCCGTAGGCTGGAGGCGGGAGGGCGTTACCGCTCGCAATCATGATCTTCTCGTGGCTCTTCAGCACATCGACCAGGGCCGTCTGCTGCTTCACGCTGAGTTCATCACTCTGGACGTTTTGCCCCGAGTAGTCCAGCGTCGTCTCCGACGCTTCGGTTAGGTCCGACAAGAACGCCAGCTCTTGTGCGTAGTCGGTAGGCTCAATCTCGTTCGAGACGTGCTCCGAAACGGCGTTCACGGTGTCATCACCTTCGCCAGACCCTTCTGCAACGATGGCATGCATGACCGAGATATAGGTCGCCTCCAGTAGCTGCTCGGGGTTGTCGATCGCACTTAGATCCGAATCATGGAATTCAGTGTCGGCGTCAGCGGTGGAGGTTCCGGCTTCAGTAGGAACGTCGTTAGGCCCTGGGTCGTGTTCACCCCAGTCGACTTCGCTACTACACACCGCAGCCGACGTTTCGTCTGGCTCCAGGCTGGACGCAGCGGTCCCTGTTGGCAGGACATCACATGGAGTTGTCTCGGCCACTGCTACCACGTCGCGGTCATCCTCCGAACCATCGTTCGTCACGCTGTCACCATCACTCAGCTCATCACTCAGCTCATCACTGGCTTCCGATGCCTCAACCGAGGCGTATGTCGCTCCCTGGCCGGTGGAGTCAGCACCACTGTTCGGATTCACGGGCAGGCAACCCGCTCGGCTTGGCGGCGAGTCTCCGGGTACGTCCGAGTCATACGACGCGCTGGCCTCGTCGTCCGAACCATCGTTCGACCCACCAGCACGATCCACATCGGTTGTATCAACTCGAGCGACATCGACCGAGCCTTCACTGACCCTGGGGTCGTCGTCGTAGCCATGTACATCAGGTGACGAGTACTCATCATCCAACGGAGCTTGTTGACGGCCTTCTGGCCATGGCGGCGCATCCGGTGGCCTCGGCAGGATCTTTCGCGGCGTCGGGTAAGTTGGGCGCTCAACCGCAGCCGGCTGTTCAGCCAACCATTGCTCGTAGAGACGACGTTCTCGTCCTTGCAGAGTCTCAACACGACTCGTTGAATAGGCCAACACCTGCCACTCTTTGTACTTGATAGAGTCCAACCTCGCGTAGCCGGTCTCTCGCGGTAGTTCACCATGCGGTACCCACAGCACCATGGAGTCATACTTGGCGCACTATGCCGCTGTGGTCGTAATATTGGTGAGCCGTATCCACGTCGCCTGCCCCCGTCGAAACCTCGTTACGGTCGGCACGAGCTTGCCCGCGCGTCGTACCCACACATCGTACTCCGAACGAGGTAGCCGCTGGCGCGGCAGTCGAAACTCTCGCCACTCGCGACCGGGTACGTATAAATCCTCGATCGGCCCACACGAAGGTTGCGTGCCGTAAGGTTCGCCATCTTCAGCACTCTGCGACTTTAGCTGTGGTACCATGACCTCGTCCGGAAGGCGTGCGGTGCCATGAAATAGATCCAGCCGGATTCCAGCCGGGATCATGAAGTCCATCCCAAGGACCACATCCACCCCGGCACTGTGATCCATTATCCACATTTCAAATTCGTAGACCTGCTCCCACCCGAGGGTGGTCTTGACGAGCGCCCGTCGCCGGGTCTCCATCACCCCTGGGTTGATGCCGCGGACTTCGAGACTTCGTCCGTGGTCCCGGAATTCTCGCATACGTAGCCGCTTGGCGAAGCTGGCAGAAATCACGCTAACATTCGCTCCAGTGTCAAGGAGTATCCTCGTTCGCGCGTCGTCCACTGCGCCATTGACCAAAGCCCTCATTCACTTCCTCTTGTCGTATCGTTGGGACGACCACCACCCCAGTCTCTCACCGGGCAGTAATTTCACCGCCCGACCGAGGTTCCGAGGTGGCCCCCTTATCTGGGCTAGACTTGTGATCAAAGCCTCGGTCGGGTGTCCATCACGTTCATCATCATCATCTTCATCAATACCAATCGCAACGAGACTTGCGTCCCGGTTCTCTCCATTTTCCGTCGGTTTCACACGTTCATTGTTCTTCAGGTCGTCAGGCCGTTTGCTTTCGCCCGTGAACGCGAACAGATAGTCCGCATCAACAGCAGGCTCAGCTAACTGTGGCAGCCCGATTGGGACCACCCCAGTTTCAATTGGCGGCCTGCCTAGTTTAAATGGCTTCCATACACCAGGCTTTGCAGCTCTGGCGACAGATCCTTCTTGTCGACCCTGGACTTCAGGAGCTTGGTGAGCTCATGGAGTGCTTCACACTTCCCAGCGTCGTGCACCTGTTTGCACAGTTTGCACCGCCGGTAGCAGAAGTGCACCGAGTGGGACGGGCTTCCGCACGCGGCACACGGTCCATACTGGCGTCAACCATCTCGTTCACGGTTGGACGGGCCTCCTCCGTTCCTGAAGCCTCGGTTATCAGACCGAGCGAACGTTCCTTTGGCTGCGGCCCTGCCCTCAGCATCGTTAGCAGCAGCGACTTGTCCGGTAGACCCATCCGAGTCGTAATCAGCGTCTGAATCCTCGTTCGAGCGTTGGTCGGCCGAGTATTGGCGCTCATCCTCGAAGTAATCCTCGTTCGCCTCAGCATCACGTCGGGGGGCGTATGGAGCCTCGTTGCGTGCACCGACCGAGCCTCCGACGTTCCATTCCGCCATCACATCGGCCAGCGCGTCAACCAAAGTGACTCGGGACTGGTACGGCGATCCATCGCGTCGGTCACGGCGACGGTCGTCTTCACTGCGGTCGTTGCGGCGGTCGTTGTCACGGCGACGTCGTTCGCGACGGTCTTCGTCGTGGTAGCGTCGTTCGCGGCGGTAGCCACCACGAGAATCCTCGTTCGACCTCGCATCGCATCGACGTCCATCATCTTGACTCCGAGAGCGGCGGAACGACGATTCTCGGTTCGATTTGCGGTCACGGTGACGCAGGATGTCGTTGATCATGTCTTCGAGGTCATGGATGCTCTTGACCCGGACGTGGCACAGACGGTATTCTAAGTTTCGGTCGTCACACGTGACCAAGACGTGGTCCACGTGGTCCTTCGCGTCACGACCACCGTTTTCAAATTGCACACCGGCGTTGCGAGCGTAGCCGTTGAGCCGGTTGAGGTAGTCACAAACGTGTTCCTTGTCTTCCCGCTTGGCCGAGTAGTACCGAGCCTTCGCAGACTGGGAAAACTTCGAGCAATAGTACTTGATGAACGCCTCGCTCAGCAACTTCCACGTGCGTCTTGTCTTGCGTGGGAGCTGGCGACACCAGTGCAGGGCTCAATCCCTGAGCTTAAGTTCGAACGCCATACACCACTCGTTGGGTGGTGCATGCGTTCCCTTCATCTCATAGATGAACGTTCGGAGCCATGCTCGCTCTTGTCGCGCGTTCCGTAGAACGGCTTGATGTTGGCGAGAGGCAAATCGTGGCGATCTCGAGCTTTGGGGTTGAGCTCTGGTTGTCGGTCGCGCTTAGCTCGCGCACCTGACGTGTCCATTCGCTCGGTAGGTCCCCTTCGTAGTAGTCGGGTCCGAGGTCGTCGTCGCTGTCCGACGAATCATCTTGGAGGTCGTAACGTCGGCCGGACCGACGACCGGTCGCTCCGCGCGTGCCAGGCGTGGCGAATGAAGCCTCGTTCTCCCTAGCCAGACGTTCACTACGATCCGTAGATCGTGGAGTTACCATGTGCGAGTCTTGCATGTACGGCGAGGCTTCGCCCTTGGTTGCAAAGACACCGTCATCATCCCTTCCGAGGGGTCGCTGGTAGCGGGACCGTCGACAGGTCTACTGCCTCCGAGGTCGAACGAAGCATCGTTGGGCCTCGCGAACTGACGTCCTCCACTCCAAAGGCATTACGCAGCTTCTTCCTCCACTTGGTTAACGCCGTGGCAGCGGCGGTCGGCGTCCAACTCGCGAGCGCAGCCTCCGTGGGGTGGATCTGGGGTTCGCACCCCACAGCTCGCAGGAGGTCCACAGTATTCTGCGCAATGTGCCGAGTGCTCGTTGAGTTGATCGGCGTAGCCAACACCCCTCCGAGGTCCATCCAGATGGCCTGGCGGACTTGCTTCGGGGAGAACAACTGCATCCATTCGCTCTTGGTCTTCATCAGGTCTAGGCACCGGCCTAAGATCTTGTTGGCCGCCGGAGTATCCCCGTTGAGGGGAGGACGAGTGCCAACCGGCTTGGAGGTTGCCCTCCTACCGTCACCGAGGGTTTGAAGACCTCGAAGGCGCCGTCATCCGCGTCGTAGGCGGACTCGAGGCCCGGCATGTCCTTGAACGTGTCGGAGAGGTCGCGGGTAATCGACCTTGATCCTCCACTGCGACCTGCGGACACAACCGCAGCTTCCGAAGTCTCGGACATCGCTGTCCGGACATCCCAGTCATCATCGTCGTCATCTTCTTTGGCGTCCGAGGAATCAATCACCGTGTCGTAGCTCACCGAACGCTCGTCAATCGACTCCATCGGATCCGTCGTTGGGGTCGAGAATGAGCTTCCGGAGCGCACCGAAGTCTCGTTGCGCGTTCCACTCGACTTGGCCGGCGTTGCTGGTACCGCTGACTTGACTCCCTTCGCCATCTTCTCTCTTCTTCTTCTTCTTCTTCGCTTCTCTTCTTCTTCTCTTCTTCTCTTCTTCTCTTCTTCTCTTCTTCTCTTCTTCTTCTCCTCTTTGCTCGTTGGGGTAAGACCTACAACAATCCAGACACACAGAAGGTCGCACCAATCCCGGGTCGCGGCACCAGTTGCGGTGTGGTAATTCCAATAAAATCCTCCTCTACCAAAGGTATTAGAGACACCAACAACACGCTAACCCGCAAAGGTAAGCGCTTATTGGATCAACACCTGAAGACCAGGAACGATCCCTTACACCGGGTCGGTTGCAAGCGCCTCTGTGCACCTTAGGTTGTCTTCGGTCAACCCAAAAACCTGTACCACTAGCCACGAGCTAAGGCTAGGATACTATGTAGCGCTTTCGGGCAACTCCACTGCAGTCCCTCAGAAAGGAAGGGTACCGGCGTGTTAGGCCTTATACAGGGGGACCAAGGCAAAACCTCGGTAGGTAGACTAATACACTCAGGGATACTCTAATCCCACAAATATATACCGAACGATACTCTAATACCGTTCCTGCCTCTCCGGCCACGCCAACTCTTGGCGCTGCCAAGGAAACTCTCGGTCAATGTACGATAAGCTCCCCGACAGGCATCCACACGCAGCCGAGCGTGTCCAGGCACAACAATAAGCTAGCTACACTTACCGAAGTCGGACTTGACCCTTGTTGGCTTTGGGGGAAGACTGTCTTTTTATTACTGAGTTGTCTGAGGCCCTGGGGGCCTCGTTCTGGTCATCCTATGATGAGTCCTATGTCCCTATACAAATATCTAGTGTGAACGATCGCAATAAGGCGATTCCGGACACATCAAATGACGACCGCGGCTACACTAATAAGTGCGGCCGAAGTACGTAACTAAATGCATCTGTACCTAAAAGTGGGTACCATGAAGCCTCGTTCGGGGTTCTATTAGGACCCGACGAGGCTTCGGCCACTGCCTGTCACTCTACCGAGGATAATGTCATCATCCAATCAGAAGCAGCCATCTCCGTCTCTCGCTTGACCTCGCCTTGATCGCCCCTTGATTGAACTTGATTGTCGGGCTGGCGGGTCAACAGCGTTGGAAACTGCCACTTTCCAATACCACACATGTACAGGACCTTAGAGATCCTGTTTAGGGTCTTCAACTCGGCTTTCCGTCCGGCGCTTAGCACGACCTTTCCTGCTTTGGTTTCCAGTGCTTCGGTCGCTAAAGAGTCAGCCGCCGAGTTGTAGAGACGCACTACATGGAGGTAGCGAACTGAATTCAGCTTGCTGACCAATTTCTTGTGGCGTGCCAACTCGACTTACAATGTCTCCTTACACGCGATCACCCCCATTGATTGCTGGATCGCAAACCGAGAATCGCCCACGATGATCAAATCCGTCACCCCGCGCTCAATGGCCGAGGTCACCCCATTGTTCATGCCGGTGTACTCGGCTATATTCACCGTGGTCGATGGGAGGTGCGCGCTCGCAGCGATCTCAATGCTCCAGTCTGGCAAACGCCATAGGATCCAAGAACAACTCCCAAACCCGCCGTGTTTAGCGGTCTTCGCCGACCCGTCAAACGACAGGACGTGCCCCTTGAAGTCTCGGGGCACATGCGCATACAGCAACTCTGGGTCCATGCGGACCGCAGCCGAGTTCTTGGACGGTGGAGCGACATGCGTTAGCAGCTCGTCCAACCCCGCTGCTGGCGTGATGGACGCTTGCAGCAACTGGGCGAAATCCGTGTCTCGTTCACGGACCCGCTTGACCTTGAGGTGGAACGGTGATAGCAGCAAAGCTGACCGCTCTGCCGTAAAGCGACTTCGACTGGAACACCCATTCGAGAGTCGAGTAGCGGGTGTAAACATGGATGGTCTTCCCGGCGAGCAACGTGTGGCACACCTTGATGAGCTGTAGCAAGGCGAGAACTTCTTTCTCGGCGGGATGGTAGCCGAGTTCATTATCCTTGAGAACTCGGCCACAGAACCGCACTGGATGGAGCTTCCCGTCGTGGAGCTGCATCAGCGTGCTACTCAGAGCCCACTCATTGGCGAATAGCATAACGTGGACGTCTCTAGCCGAGTTGAAGTGGCGGAGTATGGGTGCGTCGACTACCTTCTGTTTTAACTCGGCGAACGCCGCTTTTGCGGCCGTCAGATTACCGCCGGGTCCAAAGTCGTCGTCCTTCAGCTGATAGAGGACCGCCCCATATACAGCCAGGTTCTGGATGAACCGGCCGTAGTAGTTCAGCGCTCCTAAGAATGCTTGCATCTCCTTCTTCGTCGTCGAGAACGGCGGCCCGGCTATCACCAGCATCTTTTTCTGGTCGGTTTGGATTCCAGCCGAGGTGACCCCATGTGACAGGAAGTCGACTTTAGGCTGGACGAAGATGCTTTTCGAGAAGCTGACGCTGATGCGGCATTCAGTAAAGCGTTGCAGCAATCGGTCAAGCGTCCCCAAGCAATCGTCGAATATCCCCCCACCGAAGCAGATATCGTCCACAAACGATCTTCGGTCGAAAACCGGTGGAAGGCACGATTCATCAGGTTCACCCGTCCTGAACATGTCGGCTTCTGGGCTGTTAATGAATTCTTCCAACGGGTCAAACTCAGCTTGAGCTCGGCGGTCGGCTTCAAACTTGGTTTGGCCACTGGCTTCAAAGTCGATGTCGGCTGCGAGTCGTTTCCGCTGAGCTTCTGAGGCGGCTTCCGCTTGTAGGATGCGCTTGGCGAACACCTTCCAGCCGCCCTAGGGTTGTACGTAACCCCACAGAGCGTTATCAATAAGGCGTTGGTAGATCATCGGTGCATTCTTTAATCCGAAGGGCACTCGCAGCCACTCGAAGTGACCAAGCGCACATACAAAAGCCGAGATCCAGCGCACCCGTCGAGTCATCATGACCGCCCAGAAACCGCTAGCAGCATCCAAAGAGCAGAACCATAGGTACGCTTCCAACTCCGTGAGGAGATCGTCCACTAGCGGCATTGCGTACTCCATGAGCAACGCAATCGCGTTTACCAACTTGTAGTCGATACACAACCGAATGTCGACCCCATTCTTCTTTAGAACAATCACGATGGGCGATGCCCATGGGCTGTTCGAGAAGGCGATTAGCCGAGCTCGTAACAGCGCCTTGAGCAGCTCGTACAACTTGCCGAGATGCTTCAGCGGAACTCGGCGGGCCCGTTGGCGGATTGGCGGATGTCCCTATACGTCGATGTCGCACACTACGCCATATGCTGGTGCAGGTAGGGCATTACCACTGGAGGTCATGATCTTTTCATGGCTCTTCAACACCTCCACCAGCCGAGTAGACTGTGGCCAAGTGTGCGCCGAGCTCCGAACGTTTGGTGCTTCATAGTCGAGTTGCGTCGACACTGCTTCAGTCAAATCGGGCAGGAACGCCAACTCGCGAGCATAGTCTTCGAGCTCCAAGTTCGTTGCTTGGTGCTGGAACTCGGCTGAGTCGCCTGCCGAGCCGCCTCGGCCATATGTCTCTTCCTCGTACTTGGCTGCCAGAAGGTAACGTAAGCGCAGGTCTTCCTCCGGGTCCGACGACATGGGCTCGTCGCTCACATCAATCTCATCTCGAGCCTCGGACTCGGCGGCTTGGGCCCGGGGTCATCGATGATCGTCCAGTCAGACAAATCGCTCGATTGCTCACTTCCACACTCATCTGCTGCACTGGGCGCTTCTTGACCAGCCGTCACTGTGATCTCTGCTCAACTAGGCGGGTCATTGACCAAGTCAGTAGTAGGCTCCGCGCTCAATGTTACTTCCTCAGGCGCTAGGGTAGCGATAGCCGGGTTCGCTGGTTCTGTCAGAGTCAAGGGTGGACTATCGACTGCTTCTGCCTCGGCTCGCTCCTCCGACTCGGCCAACCTCTCCCATTGCTGGGCGCAAGTCAGTGTCGAATCCCGCTTCTTGGTAGACGGCCACGTAGTCACCCCTTTCGGTTCAGGGTATTCTACGGTCCACAGCTGACGGCTGTCGAGCCAGCCACTCGGCGTACAGCCGTTGTTCCTTTTGCAGTAGATCCTTGTCCATAGCCGCTTCGTAGGCCATGACTTGCCAATCTTTGTACTTCGCCGAGAGCAGCCTGACATAACCATCGGGCGGTAACACCCCATGCGGCGCCCAGGCACCGACTGGGAAATGTGTTGGGCATCACGTCCAAGTCGGCTTAAGGTTGGTCAGGCGAACTCGAGCCACTCGGTTACGCCGGTCGAATACCACGGTCGGTAGCCAGTCTTTAGTCCGGCGTACCCAGAAGTCATGTGTTTCATCACTCGGTTGATTCCTCATCAGCCTGAACTCGGTGGGAACTCGGCTCTCGAGATTCACCGGTTCGGTCGGGCCGTCTGTGATGTAGAGGCTGCCTTTCGGTTCATCCACCGAGTTATGGGAAGGACAACTTCATCTGGTAACTTCGCCACCGAGTTGTACAGATCCAGGCGGATCCCAGCCGGAATCATGAAGTCCGTACCGAGAATCAGCTTGACTCCCGCGTGGTGATCGAGGATCCATACTTCAAATTCATACGTGACCTCCCAGCCGAGTGTCACCTTCACCATCGCTCGTGACATCGTCGCCACTTTGCCTTTCCCAATACCTTGAACGCCAATCTGTTGATCCTGGCGTGTGAACCGCTTGAACCGCAGCCTCTTCGCGAATCCTTCGCTTACTGCCGACACATTCGCGCCGGTGTCAAGCAATATCTTCGTACGCTGGTCGTTCACCGCTCCCATTATGAGAGCTCTCATCCGAACTCGGCGGTCAAACTTTTGTGACGACCACAAGCTGAGTCGCTCCCCAGGGGGCAGCTTCATAACTCTGGTGGCTGTGGTCACATCCGTCGATCGCTGAGTCGCAACTGCACTGCACAATCTTGCTCGGCTTTCTTCTCCACTCTCGCCGAGCTCACCATCGAGCCCATCGCTTTCACAATCCAATACGTCGTCTTCTCCTCGGTCCTCGGGCCTTCCTGCCTCACCACAAAGGCAAACACAAAGTTCGCCTCTACTCCTGGCTCAGCTGACTGTGGCAGCCCGGTATCAGCCAACCCAGTCAGTGTTGACGGGCCGCCGATTTTAAATCACTCGGCGTGTAGAGGTCCTGGAGGTCTTCAGGTAACTTGGACTTGTCGACATTGGACTTGACAAATGCGGCGAGCTTCTCATAGCGCTGGAACAGCTCGCATTGACCGACATCGTGCAATTGCTTGCAGAACTTGCAGCGACGGCGGCAGTAGTGAACGGAGGGGTTCGCACCACCGCAGGCAGAACAAGGTCCATACGAAGGGCGTTCACGGGAGTCACTGCGCCGCCCAGTCCGGTCACGCCGATCGTATCCTCGAGTGGCGCGGTCAGCCGAGCTCGGCTGACCCCTTCGGTGATCACTCCTTGGTGTCCCAGCTGAGTTCCCTCGGTCCCCCGAACTACGGTCGCGGTCGCTGGTGAGCCCGGTGTCGATGTAATCGTCTTCCGAGTCTACAGCCGAGTCGGAGTAGCTCGGCTGGCTGCCGTCGCTCTGATCGCTGTCCGAGTCGTAGAGGTTGGATTGCCGATTGGATTGACGTCTCTCAGCCAACACATACGGGTCGTCCTCCAGCAGCGCTGTCGCTAGTCGGCGGTCTCGACCATCGTCGCGTCGGCTTCGTCGGTCATCTCGGCGGTCATCTCTACGTCGTTCCCGGCGGTCGTTTCGGCGGTCATCTCGGCGCGGCTCACTCCGCTGAGCTCCCGAGTGCCTTGACGAATCGGTGCGCTTGGCGTCTCGGCTGCGGCTTCCGATGAGACGGTCGCGCTGTTTCTTCCGGCGCTCCCCCATGATCTTCTAGTTGATGATCTTCTCGACCTTCTTGATGTCGGTGAGCTGTTGCGGATAGAGCAGATCCATGACGTCATCATCTCTGCAATGCAACAGGAAGTGTTCCACATGGTCAGCAGCATCCGCTCCACCGGCTTCGTACTGGATTTTCGCCGACTTCGCATATCCGTTGAGACGAACGAGGAAGTCACACACCAGCTCGTTGTCTTTGCGCTGAGCCGAGTAATAGCGAGCTCGTGCCGACTGGTCAAACTCCGAACAGTAGTAGTCGGCGAATGCCTCACTCAGCAGACTCCACTTCCGTTGCGTCTTCTTCGGAAGTTGGCGATACCAGCTCTTCGCACCTCGCTCCAGCTTCAGCGAGAATGGCTCGTACCAGAGGTCTTGTGCCAGCCGAGTTCCTTTCATCTCGTAGATGAACCGCTTAAGCCACTGGAGAGAGTCATCCGGTCGGTAACGTTTGCCTTCGAACATAGGGATCTTGTCGAGGGACGCATGGGTGCGAACCTCCAAGTATTGCGTCCGATCACTTTCAGCGTCATCGAAGCTAAGGTGCTTGATGACGTCCTTCACCGACTCTTCAGCCAAGTCCAGGTACTCGCGCCCATCCTCGCTGTCGCTGAGCTCGGCTGCGTCTGCAGCGTCAAACAACTCAGCGTAGCGTCCACTTGGCTGCTTGCCACGCGTTGGCATCTTCATATGCGAATCTTCGAAATACTGCGTACCCTCAGTAGAGCGGAACATCTCGGCTCTATTGCGTTCGGGAGTCTTCGGCAGGGGAATCCTGCTGGGGTCTTCGACGGTCTTCGGAGTATCAGCCACTCGTTTCGCAATAGTCTGCCGAGTTCCGACGGCCCCCCGCTCGAGACCAAACGAGACTCTCAACCGACGCTTCCACTTGAGGATTTCGCGTGAAGCTCGGCTGGGGTCCCAATCGCCGAGTAGCAGGCTGTTGGGTCGGCTCGTGCACCGGAACCCCATCGCCTTGAGTAGCAGCACCCTGTCTTCGACCAGTTGGTTGATGTCGGTGCTGTTCACCGGCTGAGTCAGCTCGGGAACTAGCACCAGCCATCTCGCCTGAGCCATCGCCACTGGGGCAAACATCATCATCCACTCGCTCTGAGCTCGCATCTCCTCTCCGAGCCTGCCCAGAACCTTGTTCGCACTTGGCGTATCCGCATTCCTCGTCGCTCGCGGGATCAGGGGCGGACGTTCCCCTTGAGCGGCGGCTTGATCTTCGTCGTCCGTATCATTGCCGAGCTCGGCGGCCAGGTTGCGCACAACTGGACGTGGGGTACCCAAGCGACAACTCGTCGACTTCGTCGAGTAGCTCGGCTTTCTCCTCATACTCATCCTCAACATCTTCCTCACTTTCTTGGTCTTGGGCATCCTCCTCATCGAACTGGACGGTGCTCGCCTCGTCCGCCGTCGCGTCCGTGATCATCGCATTCGCCGAGTCCGCCGAGTTGGTCAGTCCAGCCGAGTTACTTCCAACCGTCGCTGGACTCGGCGTAACAATTCCCTTGACCATCTTCACACTCTCTTCTCTTCTCCTCAAACCTTGGTTAGCTGGTACCTACGAAACACAAGCACACCCCTGTTCCCGGGTCGCGACACCAGTTGTGGTATAGCAGTACACACAAAATCGTCAGTTGTGGTAACTTGGCTACAAACACAACAATAGCCGAGCTGGTCGGCTTTGTTGGCCTGCGCCGGGTTGCCCCCGAGCGGTTCGGCCCAACCGGGACAGCGGGTGTCTCGCCTCTCGCCGAGACCTGCCAACCAAGATCACCCCTCCGGAGAACCGCCGAGTTCGACGGTCTCCGTTCACTCAACCCTGTGCCCTCCACCAAAGGATGGACGACGGCGCACGGAGCGCTTTTACAGGTCGCCGAGAGCAAAGGCTTCTCGACTCAGCAATCAGTGCCCGGGACGTACGGGAGCACCTGCTCGCAGCGGTGGCGAGACTTTTCCTTCGCGCTTGGCGAGTCACGCGCCCAACCCGGGCCGACCTTAATCTCTTGGCGCTGCCAGCCGAGTACCCTACAAGCTATGCCTCTCGGGTACCGGCAGCAGACATAATCCGGCCCCGTGCAGGGACTTACTGGAAGCGCGTGCACGTGTTGTGGACCTAGAAAATTCTGCTCTGTTGTTTGTTATCACTGTCGGGCGCCCTGAAGGGGCGCCTCCACTATTCCTAAGCTCCTATACAAATACCAAATGAAAGTGGGCGGTTTTGAGCTCGGCTGGTCCGGATAAGCTATCCGGATAATTCTTCGAACTCGGCTGAGCCCGATAAGGTGTCCGGATAAGCTGGTGAACTCGGCTGAGCTCGACTACCGCTACAGTGTACCACTCCAGCCGAGTTGCTCGCGCGAAATCTGGTGTTTCCTACACCACACTTGGGAGCAACGTACTGTAGTATTTTTTGAAAAGACAACAATACTTGGTGCGATGAAATCGGTTTATGCGTTACTGTACAAGAGGGATACCTTTGGCTCACTAATGAGCTTCCGGATGGTATCGCCACATGCAGCGAAGTAATACTTTAAAGCATGTGTTTCTTGCATGACCTAACATGACCTGACCTGTCAATGACCTGTTTCGCGCTCTTCCGATGCGCGTCGTATACACCCAACGTTTTGTCATTTTAATTGGCCATATTCAAAGCAAGGCCAAGGCTGGGCCCCAGCCCCAGCCGCTAGGGGTCATGCCTTCATCATGAATGGCGCCCACGGCTTCACCAGGGCGTCGCCATCGCGCTCCTCTAAGTGCACCGTGCCGGAGACGCGCTGGTCACTGCCCCAAAGACACTCTAATCCGATAGTAGCAACGGGACATGCGCCCTCTTGCCGGAAGAAAGGTGCTGCACCACCAGTAGCAGCGCTGAATGGCCTATGGCCGCTCCAGTAGTTCAGCGATAGAGTGGAGTGTGCTCGATGCCAGGTCGGCTCTCTACTCTAAACTCGTTTTGGGAGGACCAATCACAGTGACAGATTTTTGGAGTTGGGGGGCTACCGATACCATTGCCCTTAACCTGCCCCGGAATGATCATCCCCTATTGAAACCATGTCCGGTAAAAAGTTAGGATTATGGTTTTGTCCGACTAAGTACGATAGCCCTAACCTGACATCGGTAAAAACTGAACGCAAGTTACTCTCTGATATTTGTCCTAGAATCAAGGACAAAACAGAAACGCGATATGTTATTAATGACACTTTGTTTATAGTCTTTTAGGCATGATGGACGATGGTGGACAGTTTGCGAGAGACACACACTTGAAAGTGGTAATCTAGGGCTTTCTTCCATAGGAATTAGATAGTGTATCTCATAGAACTCCGGTCAAGGTTAGCTTCAAGTTTTTGGTCACTTATTTTGTCCTTGATTTGGAGGCTGTGGGGGGGTAAGGAATTGCTCCGAAACCTCTCTGATGAATGCAAGTGCGGGGAGTACCGGTGGAGGTTTCAAGTCCAAGGTAGGCCACCCTGAGGCGCTGCTCCATGACTTTCCTTCAAATGCGGCATAGTATTAATACATGTATAGACGGTCTATCCTGAAGTGCACACCTCAATCCCAGTTCTATTCACCATCATCGAGTGCCACTTCGAGTTTTACGCGCCAGCCCTTATTATCCAGCTCGCTCAGCCATGCGTTTCGACCGCCTACTACGTTTATTCGCCACGACATTCGTTCTTCTCGTTGCCAGAGCTGCCCACACACCAGAGGCCAGGACGAGTGAAACAGGAATCTTCGCTGCGAACCCGCCCCTCGTCAGCGGTGGTCGACTTTTGCGGGTTAGTAGCGCGGCAAACGACGCAACTCCCAGCACGGAGAAGAGAGGCATCCTTTCGTCCATCAAAATGTGGGTGAAGACCCAGTATTGGTCTCTAATCGAGAAATCCGACGACTACGTCAAAGCCAAGTTGGGCCTAGCAGGAATTGAAGACTCAGTGATGAAGGCAAAACCCAACTACAAGTACTTGCAGAGGTTTCGGTACAAGGTCGAAGGATGCATGCTAGACAAATGGCTGTATGACAAAGGATACTCGACACAGACGATTACAACTTGGAGGGCAAATCAACTCGCGACCAATGGCTATGCCAAAAAGTACGATAACGCCATCTACCGGGTACTACCACAAGAACAGCATTTTCGAGCCACCGATCCACTTTGACGGTTCGCCGGGGGAGCTCAACGTGAAGGTGCGGATGTGGGCGGAAAAGGGAAGACCCAGGTGGTACGTCAAGGAGATGCTTGGGCTTGACGAGGTACCAAAAAGCGCGCTAATGGCCGATCCGCACTACAAGAAATTCTTGGAGCTAAAAGATGAGAAGTAAGAAAAGCGCAATGCAATACAACATAACTCTCTAAAACCGTATTTTATACGCGAGAAAATAACATCAGCTACTCGGTGAAAAAACTTTCGCACCAAAAGACGAGCGGGAAGGCAATAGCAGTGCCGGACATGGCACCCAACTGAGTAGCCAAACCGTTCCATTGGTACACACGCCGAGCAAAACTTGTCGAGTGCTTGAGATCTGGACCAAAACAATTGAGCAATTTTAGTTATTAATAGGTAGCAAGATGCAAAAACAGCCATATTCAACCTACCTCCAGCGCGTTTTAGCGTGAGATACAGCATTGTCTGAGTGTAGGCACATCCTATCAGGTAGAGGATGTGAATAAGGAGAGCTACACCATTACAAAGACAGCAGACCTTTGGTAAGCAAAACACCACGGCCGTCAGACCCAACGCATGGTAACGGATGGCTCACGAAGTAAATATCCGTGCTTTTCGTTGCTGAGTACTGGCGCCGACGTCAGCGAGAACGACAGCAGAACCGACTAAGAAGTCGCCAATACACATCGAAATTTCAGTCAGAGTCCACTACCGGCCCGAACTACTGTTGACTTACCGCAAGTACTACCAGCGCGAGCGTCATACTCCGAACGTAATACAGCCGCAACCACCTTCTCCCAGACAAACACACAAACATTAGCAGATAAATTTCTGATCAGCAGAACCCTTCAGAATAGCACTTACGTCGTAACCACACTAGCGAGCGGGGAGAGGACTAGCGCCGCAATGCTGGCAGTGGTCTGGAAACGTGCCGTTGCTGCCTCTGCGTCTTCTGTTGGCTACAGCACCAAAACGCAGTTAGCAGAAGTAAACTAACGGGTATGAGGCGGATGCGAAACGCACCGCAAATTTCTTGTACACGTAGGGCATGGTAGAAGGCAGCCAGCCGAATGAGAAGGCCGCCAACACCCACTGGCAAGCCAGCAGCGGCCACACCTGCCGAAACACCGCAGCACCAGACATTGTTTCAGCGCTCTGTGGCGACGTGGGCGAAGCAAACGTCATAGTACTTGCACTTGTCGAGCTGGGGCAGCTACCACACGAGCTCTGTGACAGCAGCGAGTTTTCCTCTGCCTCTCGATCAGCTCGCTCCTCAAGCTCCAAGTCTCGCTGCTGTCGCGGCTTCGGGTCTTGTAACGAGTTTGTACTTGCCACCGCCTTCTCCTCTGACGCCTTCACTTCTTCAGCCCATGGATGACACTGCAGAAAGGCGAACGCTGCCAGGGAGAAGCACATGATTGCACCACAAATGAGGTAGAACGCCGAGACGGAGAAGCGTAGAGCGCCTCCCGGGTCTTGCACAATGCCCAACAGAGCTGCTAGCGACCCACTGAGCCCTTCCCCCGTCGCCAGAGCACTCGTAAACAGCGGCGGGAAGCTGGCCACGAAAGGGTAGAACACCACGCTGGACGTCGTGCTCACCATGCCCCCAAAGTGGGTCAGCAACAACATCGCTATAGCGATTTTACAAACAAATAATAACAGCAACAGTCAGTTCACACTCTACCGGTTCAGCCAGCAGTAGAACGAGCCTACCGAGGCTGTGTCTTTCCCCGAAGACGGAGGCCGTCTGCCCCCAGAGCAGACTCATGAGCACAGCCACCACCACGCCCTGCACCAAGATCCACCAGATCACGCTGGACTGGCTCAGCAGCTGCTGCTGGGCGTTGAACAGCATGTAGAGCATCGGGTAGATGTTGGCGGACTCGAGGGCGAGAATCTACGTGCACACACAATGTGACCATAAAGAGTTAAGGAACATGTAGGGTATTCTACCGTGTCATTCTACCGTTCTACATTATTTTGACAAAACGTGTATGTTATTCTGCGTTGTATTACCGAGTACGCGTAGATCCGGTAGTGCTCCGGCAGCTCTCGCAGGAACAGGCCCAGCTCCACGTACGTAACGTTGGTGAGCAGCCACGAGGCCAGCCCTAGGCCCACGAAGGCCGTGAACGTGGCCGCGCGCTGTTGCTGTTGACGCGGCCGCGAGATGCCCGAGCTGCCGAGCCCGGGTCGCAGCTCAGCCGCCGCCTTGAGCGGTAGCTGCTCGCTCGGCTCGTCCAGCGACATCATCCTCAAAGTGACAAAACCCGTGTGGTGTGAAAATAGAAACGCATCCTGTGACATGGGAACACTCGTTGTTTGTATGTGAACATAGTGTACCCCTGGAGGGGTGCAGTTCTATTTCCCTGGGGGCGTCCGTGAGAACCCCAGACTGGGTCTTAGGGCCTGTTTTTGTGAGGTCAAGTCAATCACTTGTGTCAAGCATTCGTAAGACAGTTTGACGACAAATCAAATCTAGTGATTTGATTGGCGAATAGTACGAGTTGCCAATTCTGTTGGCACTGCCAGGCGCAGAGGCTCTGCTAGGAAGGCCCGCGTTCCTCTTCGCTACTCTTTTTGATGCATTTCGTTGCACTTCGTATCCTGACTAATATCGGGCGCAGCATAGTAGTGGTAGTAATGATTGGCGGTTCGATAGAACTGTGCGGAGGAGCGCTGCGACACCAACAAACTCCCTCTACATATTTAAAACACCACGGCGAGCTTAGATCGTTTAGATTTCCTAGTACTCCAGTAGCAGGCCGAGCAAACTGGTAAGCGCCTTCAGCCGGGCTGATCAATTACATTTATTCCCGAGAAGTTTCGCCGCTCATTTGACTCTTAGAGGCCCTCACGTCGTTTTGTAGTTATTTGTTTGCGACACCACCAACAGCTTGCCTACACGTGGCCGCGGGTGAGGTCGGTGGTGTCCTTTCTTTGTAGTGAGTCTCCGAAACCACTTTGCAGAAGGCGATCGAAAAGTAGCTCAGCAGTGGAGACTTCTAAACTCAGTGCTTGGGTGAGCTTTCAATACCGTTTACAGACCCACACCTTGTTGGGTTGTACCGAAAGCACATCAATATTTGCATCATTTTCGTCTTGTTGTTGTTGTTGTTATCTTTATCCGGATGTCGCCATATGCAACTGGAGAAGGGAAATGTACAGTAATCTAATCTAGTACTACTCTCACTTATTGTACGTATTTTGGCGGGTGAGCTGTTAATTCAGGCGGAATTAGAGTCATAAAAGGGCGATCAACGCTTATTTAGTGCTAATTCTGCCTAAGATTGTCAGCGCTTCCCCTAACTTCCGCGAACAGCATTTGAGAGCCAATCGACGGAGATACGAGCAGAATGGCATGGATTGGCGGGTAGGAAACCGCCAAGCGCTCTGGTTCCGCCTAACGCAGGCTGGATTAGCTTACCGGTATTCCGCCTTAACTCGGCCTCACCATCGCCGCTCCTAATTCGGCCACGAAGGGACGACCCGGAATTAATATGGGAATTAGCTAACTCGGGGCGTAATTAAGGTCGATAAGGGATTAGAGTTATACCAGAATTATCACGGCAGAATAAGTGAGAGGCACAATACTACATAATACATGTAATAGGAAATGTATTTTGTCCGTCAAAACGTAAGACAGTTTGTCGGACAACAATTTGCACCATGCGATTGGCCAAAACTTTCTGCACGAAAGAGGGTAGTGTCGTTGCGTGCGTTCCTTCGTTGAGCATGTAGGAACCCGAGGACAACCGCTTTGCCGTTTTTGAATTGCTCGTGCCACCTACAGTCGAGCCGACGAAATAAGGCGCTCATAAGCACGAACATGTAGTCGGTAGTGCGGCCCTACTGCCGACTACAATGTACACGCTTGTTTGAGAATGGTTAAGAAATAAATGCACCCGAACCATTAGCCCAGCTTGACAAACAAAACGTTCATGGCTTTATAGTGAATTCTAGTTAATACACAGCCCCTCTTCCTCCGGTAGTGCGGCCCACGAACCCTGTTGTGTCCTCTGAGGACGCCTCCGAGTGAAACAGTCACGACGACCGCGCACACATGCTCCGCACCGAGGCGTTGTCGGAGGACGCGAGGGAGTAAACATTCAATACATTATGGGATCTTACCAAAGCCATGAAATGAACTGTTTTGTAGTAGCAACAAGGCAGCGTCAGCCAGTCTTGGTATTTGTATTTGTATTTGTTGCGGTTTGCTTGGCTACCTTACTCCCGGAGGCGCACACTGCGGCAGCTCCACCTACGTCGGTAGTACTATGCGGTACACAGACTGGGTCTTAGTGAAGTCGGGGTGTCCTTGCCAACGACTTCTTGTATTCTTTTACAATACATTGGAAATAGGAACTATTTTAACGCCTAATCCAGTACATTCAAATGGACTAACAGGACTAATCGTACCGGTTGTGTGATCAATGCTGAGCAGAGCCTGTTTTTTTCGTACCGGTAGTGTGATCAATGCTGAGCAGGGCCTGTTTTTGTGAGGTCAAGTCAATCCCAGTTGTAATACTGGAAGTAAGCTTACTTAAAATTACTGTAGTATTATGATAATCGTCGGCTGTACGGTTCCCATACCGCCCCTACGTAGGCAATGGTCGGAAACCATGACGGCGCTTTCATTATACATTTGTACTGGCAGAGCGTGAGAGAACATGGCCCGAGTCCGCTGGGTCCTGCTGCTTGCGGTCGCTGCTGTCCTCACCAACGCTAGTGCATACTTCGTCACGGAGTCGAAGCTTTCGCTCAATTCCGAGCCGTCCGACATCCACTTCAATCGCCTCCTGAGGGTGGTCGACGGTGAAGAGCGAGGGCGCCTCGGAGGGGTGGCCGTCCCGTTCCTCGAAAAGGCCAAAACGGTGTTGCTGCCCGCCGTCTCGACTGCGAAACTCTCGCAGTGGGTCACAAAGGGGAAACCTGTCAACGAGGTCTTCGTGCGCCTGGGCCTGAAGAAGGTCGTACTCGAGAAGCTGTTTGAGACCCCGCAGTTTTTCTCGTGGGCCAAGTACGTGGACGATCTAGGCAAGCAAGCGCCCGCAAAGGCGCCAACGATGATTCCGACCCTGGTGACTCAGTACGGCGACGACGCTCTCGCAACAAGTCTCGAAGTTAGCCTCCACGGAGCAACTCGACCAATTCTTCACCTGGGTGACTAAGGGGAAAACTCCGGACGAGGCGTTTAGCCTGTTCAAGCTCGACAAGGCAGGGAGTAAACTCGTCTCCAGTCCAGAGCTGGACGCGGTGAGAAGCTACATCACGGTCTTCAACAAGCAGAAGCATACGGAGCAGACGACGCTGATCGCAACCGTGCTCAGGAGCTACGGCGACGACGTCGTGGTCAACATGCTCGAGGCGGCCAAGAAGGTCCCGGGTACGGCCAAGGACGCCAGAGTCTCGAGTCCGAGCTCATGAAGCGCTGGATGCAAATGGAGCCGGACGACGAGTTCACGGCGCTGAAGCTCAACACGGCAGGGGAGAAGATGTTCAACTCTGCGCAGCTCAACGCGTGGGGGAATATTGTGGACGAATTCAACACCCTCAACCCCGACAAGAAGACGAATTTAATCGCGGCCATAACCAAGAACTACGGTGACGCAGGCGCGGTCACATTGCTTGAAGCGGCTAAGAAGGTGCCGGCCTCGGCCGTGACCGCCACGAGGCTGCAGCGCGAGCAGCTCAAGTACTGGCTGAGCATCAGGAAAAAACCAAGTGAAGTGTTCAGAGCGTTCAAGCTCAACAAGGCGGGAGACAAGCTCTTGGAGAGCCCTCAGTTCAGCGTGTGGATGAAGTACACGACGACTTCTTCGGGCGAGAGGGCGACCTGGATTCCGCGGCCTTCAAGGCGCTGCGCACGTACAGCGACGAAGAATTGGCCAAGATGATCCTCGCCGCTGAGAACAACCCAAGCTTGAAAAAGGCTGTCGAATGGACGGAGAAAAAGCTGTTCCGGGGCTGGTTGGTAAATGAGTCGCCTTCAATGGTTTTCCAGGGCCTTTGGCTTGAACGAGCAGGGGAAAAGGTGTTCGAGACCCCAATGATCGCCTACTTTACCAAGTACATGGCTCGTGCCACTGAAGGGATGAAAGACAGGGACGCATTGATGCTCACGGCGTTGACGGCTGGAATGGGTGACGAGGCCCTGGCAGCGACTCTCATCGCGGTGAAGAAGGTCCCAAGCACGGAGAAATTAGCCACCACGATGCAGACCGAACAGCTCAAGTATTGGCTGAGCCAAAAGGAGATGACGCCCGAGAAGCTCTTCAAGAAGGTGCTCTTCCTGGACGAAGCAGATGTTTTCACTAACCCGGTACTGAACACGTGGGCCACCTACTTGCAAGCATTCAATGCCAACAAGCCAGTAAAGGAACAAGCGTCGATGATCCAAGTCTTGAGAAATAGCTTCGGCGACGATGACCTGGCAAAGATGCTCACTGTAGCAAAGGAGGCCCCCGAGACGAAGAAGATGGCCACGGATCTGGAGACGGCGCTGCTCAGCCGGTGGGTTCTTCACAAGATGTCTCCGACGGCTGTCTCCGAGGTTCTAACTGCAGGAGGAGTGGCGAAGGTTACCAGGGCGAAACTTCTCGAAACCTACACGGCCAAGTTCAGGGAAACCTACCCTTAGCATTTGAGCTGATACTACAGTAGAATCTGACGTTACCGAGAAACACTACGCAGTGCTTGTACTTGGATAGTGGAAGTACTTTATCGAAAAGACCTGAAAAAATCATTCACCGCTTACTCGTCGTCGGAATTTTTGTTAAAGGGAACTAGCTGCAATAGTCCACAGACTGTCCATGTTGTGGAACACTTTGTTGTCGAACCTGAGCTCATACCTTTTGTAAATTCGGAGCGCGTCACAAATTTCGCGTTGAGCTGGGGGCCTTGCCTAGTTTTGGATACTTCCACACGTCTTTCCGACTGAGTGTTGTAGCTCAGCCAGTCCTCGAGCTACGCCCTCCGCCTTGGGCAAATATTATTTTCTGATGGGTTTTGTCTCCCACCAGACCGAACTTCTCCCTCAGTTGGCCACTATGAACTTCATAGAACCACTTCATGATATGAAGTGGTTCTGGGTGCTTTTTTTTATATTCACGTAGTGTTCGCTCACTTTTGATGCACCGACAAGATTCTCCTAAGTCAAGTGTAATTTCATCGGCAACTCGTCAAGCACAGGGATGAACTCTTGGCCTGATTGGGCGTAGCAAGCGCCGCAGAAGTACCGAGTAGATTTAACAGCACGTACACCGCCACTAGCGCGACGTCGTAACCCTCATAATATGGCGCAGTGGAGAAGAGGGTGAGGCCTATAGAGTAATTCACACAGTAATAGGGCATAATGTTGCTTGGACTCGCACAAAATCTAAGTTGAAGTGATTACTAGAAAGCAATCTCAAAACGTTAAAGAATGCGTAGACTTCCAAGATGACGCTCACCAACGAGATTGGCCCCATCCAAAGAAGGCTGGTCGCAATTTGAAGGTACCGAAGAAGTACAGTAGCTCCGGCTTTGAATACACTCTAGTCCATAGACGAAACTTAAGACTTGTTTCATGCGCAAATTGCAATCGTGTATTGAGATAGATCATCCTGGCAACTCGGAGACGGCTCGAAACATTAGTTCATGAACAGCGTTCTGTAGATTGTAACGCGTATAACGCGTATTCTGTCTGCACAGCAGTCATTCCTTCGGATCAAACAGTTGCCATGAAGACTGGTATCTCATGCTTTACGTCTGGGTTATTGCCGATACCAAGTGTAGGAGAGGAGTCAGCGGGTTCTGTTGGGCGCCAGAAATCCAAGCGGTGGGTTTCGTACAAGGGAATCAAGCACAAGATGGAACTGGGAGCATCACAACTCTATCTAGGGCGGACGATGAACCAGTTGGTATAACAGTTCGTCTTACACTCCAAGGTTATTTTACTGGGAGGACAGCATTAGCTGGCTGAACAGCCTAACCAATTTTATTGCAGCCCCCCCCCCCCCAACTTTAATTGGCAAATGTCGCCTGAGTCCATAGTCCACAGATTATGGCTACCGTAACATCACAAAGTTTGTACATTTCGTGGCTGGTTGTTCCGAGAATGTCGACTGAATCCGTAGTGTGTACCACACATTGTAGTGAGCAGTTCTTGAATTTATGAAATTTATTCGGAAAGTCAAAACTAGGATAGCTGCATTTTCTCCTTATAAGCTAACAAGGCCGTGCTCTGCCCGGAACAGCTCTGGACCTTACGTCGCTCTTGGGCATATAAGTTAGTGTACTGCGGCATCTTGTTTCTACGTGGCAATGGCAGAAAGGAGTAGAGATATGTTATTGGCTGAGGGTAACCACTATTAGTTGAATTAACGGATTTATACGAATATTGACCGTTCTTGAATTCACTAGAGGTTTGGGCTGGTAGTGCATTTTTGAAGTACTTCAGTTCTGACATTTTTAAGTTCAATTTGAAATAATAGGACGAAGGAACAACATAGTCTCTCCCTTTAGCCACAAGCGAAACGACCAATTATTCACAGAGCTAGAGGTGTTGATTACCGGACGTACTGCTGCGGTACTAGGGCTTCACGTAGGCTAGGATAGGTAAATGACAGTATTTTGTTTTTCAGAAAAAAAAGCCGTTGCACATACATAGCTTATTTAACTACCTGACAGTAGCCGGAAAAAAACTAAAAAATCACTCAAACCAACGCTTACTGATTCTCTTATCCACCATATCATCGTCCATAATAAAACACAACCTGCTCAACATGAATTCGATCAGCTGGGCAACGTAAATGATGATCATGCAGTAAGGAGATCGCTAACTGAGTAAGATGGAATCTGTACTTCCAGCCTACCGATCAAGTGCACGAATTAAGACCGTTTGATACTGAATAGGAAGGTACAAAAAATCATTTGGTTATACTTCGGTAGTGTGACCCGTACGACCCAAGGGCATTTCCTGAGCCTGCTTCGCAGCCGCAGCATCTGCCCAGAAATTGCACCGCTATTATCCATAGTATGGATAGTAAGAAGAAACTGGTTTACAACATAACACACGGGAATTTGGTGGTTGTATCAAGCTAGCCGACCCCGACGATCTTAACGATGTCGATGTCGTCTACGTAGATGTAGCCGCGATTCTTGACGATTCCTGTCGAGTTGAACGGGGTACGGAGCTCCATCAACTTACTGGAACGCGTTCTCGAGAGACGGCATCACCTCACGGCTCCGGTGCTGAAGCTGCCTGCGCACGAGGCCTGAGTCGCGTGACCTCTGGGTCTTCACTAATTGTACCGGCCATAATGGCTCTTGCCACAGGCCATAGCTAATCATGTAGCTGCCAGTGGCCGATGCTTTCGTCGTAATGCCTAACTAATAAGTCGTCACCGTTGAAGGCGGGATCCCGTCGGCATGTTGTTGGAGCGGGAAAAAATCCGATGGATGTCGCTTGAGTGGCAGATAAACTATCTATCACAGGTATATATACTTGATTAAAGGCTATGCAAAATAATAGGTAATTTGACTTAGTCTCAACCGGATGGGTCAACATAGCAGCATAATTTGATTAGATCGCAGGCTATCCAGTATAACAGGTATTTTAGAAACCCATATTTAGCAGGTATTTGATGTGAGAATAATGGCACCTCAGTATGGACTCTGGATAAAATCCAGAGAACGTTTACTCAAAATCATTGAAATAACAACGAACGGATTGCTCTTTTTCCTGCGTCTGTTCGCGCCCATGGCGTTTTGGCCCCGCTCTAAATTGACTAAACCCCATGAATCCTTCTTGTGTAAAATTGTATAGCTGGAATGCATGACGTCAACGCGCTCGGCCGGGGGCAAAGCCCCCGGCCGAGCGCGCCTTTACCTTTTTTCGTGTCTTTTGCACGGCAACTTCGTCATTTTTTTGCCAGGAAGGCGCTACACCCGCGTTTTTCATACCTCACTCCGTGAACACGTTTGGGGCAAAGGCGACAGTTCTTTGATCACCGAAGGCATGCCTCGTAATGGGTCTCGCAGAGATTTGGTGCGAGGCAGCCGCCAAGGTGGTCTTGAACATGCCTTGTCCCAATGGAGTGTTGGCTGGAGTCGGGTGCCAAGCGCGAGACGTTGTTCTGTTGAGCTTGATCGTGACGGTCCGGCACCTCGACGCAATGGCAGGCGACTTGGGCTGCTGGTGCTAGAGCTGCTTGGCCGGCTCGGTCGGGGTGGATCCTTGGGCCAACTGGTCTGCTGGTGCTTGGGCTGTTCCAGCTTGGCTGCTGGGAGCGCTCGGACTGCTCGAAATACTTAGGTACTGAGGCGGCCGGGGCCAGATCCGCCCGCAAGCTAGGGGTGTAAGGGCGGCACTGGTGGCGGTGTCGGCGCAAGGACTGATGTTTCTTGGGAGACTTGGTCGGCTTGATGGGCTGCTTGGACTGCCGCGAGGGCTGGTGCCGGACTTGGTTGGTCATGGTCGCTGCTGTTGAGCTGGGGTCCGGCTCTGTCGACGCTGTGACCACCTACAGCATGGTGGAACCGCAGGGCGAAAGCGCTGGAGGACACGAGGACTGACTGGCTGCTAAACGCGCCGTGGTAGGGGGCAATCGTTGAAGGACTCGCTCAGCGAGTTGGCTGCGTGCAAGCTGAGAGCTAAAGAACGTCGCCCCCTAAACTAAAACTAAGCTGAATGTTGTTGGCCACGCAGGCCTAGTGCAAAGACTTGACATACCGCAGTGTTGAGGCGCTTGAAAACGTGGTTCACTTCTTCGGTCGAAAAGCCTGCTTTCCACCGCTGCGCTTGTACAAAACACCCATTGAAAACTTGCCACCAATTTTCATGTTACATTACTCTTGCCTACCCCACGTTTGCACACAAAGGAAGTCTACACTGTCCTCCCAGACCAAAGCTTCGCCTCTAGTCCTTACTCATAACAATACTATGTCTCTGGTAACGGATATTGGGGCGTCGATCAGAAAGCCGCTTATGAAAGGACTATAAAAGTCATATAAAATTTTGATCACTAACCAACCGGCCTAGAGTTTTGTCCGAATTTGTGGGAAATTCATTCCGCGGCAAATCTGGATGGCGAAAGCAACATGGGCGATCGTCTTCAGCCTAGACAAAATCGCACATGTTCCCGATGCGTCCTTGCTAATCTAATTAGGAGATCGAATTTAGTAAATCAGGGATTGTAGATCTTAATAAGCCACTACAGTAAATTAGCGGATTAATAATCCAATAAACATTGTTACTGTATCGGTTCTCAACAATACATGTACATCTCTTCGGATGGGATAACTGTGTTGCGCTTTGCAGTTGCTTTGGCAAAATCGGACGTGTACTGTACTAAGATGCAGTTAGGTTATCGAAGCAGATTTAGCCCGTCACTTGTAGAGAATTAGGAGCGAGAATTGCAAGTCCGACAGAAGAACTTGCGAAGGCCGAGCGCTCGAATTTTCGCGGCTTTCGGGCTTCGAGTGTTGTACCTTTCGAGGCCTACGCAGGACTCCTACAACAGCGCATTTGAACGACCTGACTTTGATATAATGCGTGTCATACATTTACGTATGAAGTGCATGCGTGGTCGATAAATAACATACAAGTGCCCGCCCTTCTCCGTGAGTTAGCGTTGCTCCAACGGGCTCCGAGGCTCCTGCATCAATGCTCCCCAGCGAATCGTTGGTAACGATGCTGTTCCAGATAGCTTGCTGTTAGACTCAATCTTCGGCTCCATCGTCCGGGATTCGCACAGCCTATCCCCTAAGGTTTAGAGACCACCAACGTCAGATTAACTGACTCTCGAAGTCCTACGAAGGACTCGCCAAAAAAGCGACAGGAAGACGCTTTTGGTCCATGATTAGGTCCGAATTTCTAAAACGAATACAGGTAATGGATCCAGATCACATGTCAACAAATGTTATACATGTATTGTGCAAGCAGCACATACCTAAGCTTAGCGCTTGGCAACTAGTCATCGACTCAGTGATACCTATGGCCGCTGGCACAAAATTGCGCCCTATTTCGATTGCAAGGTACATTCATTTGCGGCCTACCTGTAAACCTCATACACCAAAGTTTTGGTCTATCACTGTGAGAGGGACTCAGGTATTCAATATTCGCCTCACTCCCAGGCGGGTAATGGGGGGGGGGGCACAAAAATTATCATCCTAAACATCAATCTCTCCAAACATCTAAGAGAGAGATCTGTACGTGTCGTGACAACATAATAAGGTGGTCCACATAATCGCACATAGACAGCCTTGGACGCCGAAGGCCCCATCACAAGGTGCCGAGCGCAGCGAAGGCGGCACCCGCGTGCGTTCTAGCGGGCCGCAGGGCCCGCCCTACAACTATGTGCTAATAACACGGCGAGTAGTGCAGCAAGCCGACGAGGCGAGCGGAACGGGGGCGATTACGCCACCCCCGCCGTGACGCTTGGCCTAATATAATACTTTTCGGAACACCTGCTATTAATTAAAATGGGCCCACCGCATAGTAGCAGCGATAGCAGAGTCCGCTTAAACATATAATAGCACTGCGAGTAGTGCATTGTGGCAGCGATAGCTGGGCTTGCCCTACTACTTAGTATAATAGCAAGTTTGGTAAAATGTGAAGTCATAGTAAGCGATAGCCGCGCATAGTTAGTTATAGCAGCATGTAGTCAGCGATAGGAGCGCTTATTTAAGCGCTAGCAGTTTTCAGTGAGGTACATTGTTGTCACTTAACATTGTTCGCTAACGACATCCTATGACCTTGTCGGCGATCGTCTCAATCCACTCGCCCTGCAACCTATCGTGGTGACTGCTGTCTCCGAAGGCACTCCAGCCAGGTTATCGCGTGAAGGCCGCGAGCTCCGAGGAGTTCTTATCGTGATTTCTCTCCAGCCAATGCCCCACATCACGGTGGGCATGGGCGTAGACGTCGTCCCATCTCGAGCTTGAGCCAAGTACTCGTTGGGGCCGGTCTTGGATGCTGTGGCGGGAGTCCATCGCCATATTGGTGAGTGTATCCGCCATTTTGTTGTACTCTCGCGCGTGGTGCTGCCACGTTAGCACGCTCAGTTTGTCCGCTATTCTTCGACTCTGCCAAAACAGCCCGTGGAGATACTGTGCTCGCGGCGGTGTCCTGGTTCTCTGCTGTCGGATGATTATGTTGCTGTCTCCTGCAACATGCAGTGGTGTCCAGTAATGCCGTAGACATACTCGAAGTCCCGTGAGGAGTCCCATGTTCTCGGCCAGGTTGTTTGTGGTGGTCTTCGCGGCGTAAGACATGCTGCCGATGGTGGGGCGAAGGCGAGGTGGCGCGCGTCTCTGTCCATCAGTGTAGTGGGCAAAGTCGATTGCGTGTCGCACGCTGACGAGGCGCGTGGCGCCCGAGCGCCGTTCGCACCGAGAAGCCGATCCAGAATCGTGACCGTCGCGTCCGTCGTCGGGGTGCGGCTCCAGCCCTTGAGAAAGCACAGCATGGGGGCAATTTCGACGAGGTCAGACGTGGCGCATTGCAGAACCCCGAGTCCCGTCCGCACGTCCGCCATGTTGCCATGGTAGCCGATCACTTGGCTGTAGACATAGGAATCGTCGGCGATCCCAACCACAGGTTTACGGAGCCTTTGCCCGGCGCTCCGTCGGCGTACTCGGTAGCGGCAACAGGCCGCTCTCGAACCAGGGCGCTGCGAACCTCCACGGTCGTGCTTGGCGTAGAAGTCGTTCCCACTGTCGCGGTGGTTCCGGCCACGCTTAGCACCGTCCCGTAGACAGCGGCGTCGGACGGGGGCGTCCCAAGAATGTCTTCGGGCATCAGAAGAACGTGCATTGTGCGCAGTCCAGGTAACAGCATGAGTAGGGAGATCTTGAGGGAAGCGGACTCGTTGCTCGACGGAGCAGATTGGAGAATGAGCTAACTCTAAACTAACCTATGTGCAGCTGCAACTGGCGGTTCCACGTGTCGCGCGATGGGGGCCTGATCCTGTCTTCGCCGTGCACTCTCTCCTCGTGCTGAGAAAGCCGGATCTTTGGCCTTTTGCCAAAAGATACCCAGTTGTAGCTTGAGAGGTCCGCTGTGAAGTACCCGAGACGCTGATAGCTGCCACGACCACAACGTCGAACGTAATTGAACTCACCCACTTCGCAGTGCTCACACTAATGGTAGGCTGCTGGAGCGTCGTAGTCGATGGCAGTCGATACAAACTGGACGAGGAAATATCAGCCATAGTTTCCAACGAGAGCACCTGCGACTGCCACTTAACTTCGATCAAATCAGTGGATCGCGGAATCAAGTACCCTGTCAGCAACGTCGCATACAACTTGGCATGGTTTGGAACGCCTACGGACACAATGCCGACTCGGGTCGCCTGGGTTAGTTGTCCACGAGTATTCTCCACGACAAGCGTAGGTGTGTCGGCCACCGGAAGAACAGTAAAAGTCACACTGACTGAGGTGGTGGCCTCATTGCCGTTGCTTGATTCCCGAGACATCGCGCTGATCTGAAGCTGTGTTGAACCGAACCAAGTCGCGACGGGAGTGAGCCGAATGAGCAAGTTGCTTGACGTAGCAGGCAGAGCCGCCAGAACGAACTTGCTGCTGGCATTGTCCTTCACCAACTGCGCACCGCCAGACACCTCCGCTGTCTTCAGCGCCGATCCACTTGAATCCGAAATCACAAGCCGGAGTGTTTCAGAATTGTCGGCATCCGTCAAAGCGATGGAGGTGACTGTGAATTCGCCAGGGACGTTTTGGTTGACACGGATTTCAGTTGTAGCGATGTGCATCACTGGTGTGTCTGCAACAACTGCAACGCTGACTGATACACTCGTTGAAACGCGTGTAGTTTCACCCGTCGATGTCTCAATAATTGTGGCGCCGATTTGAATCGTAAAACTCCCTGCAAAGTTTCGGCGGGGCACAAGTGTCACGAGTCGATTCGATGTGATAGTCATTGCCGAGCTTCTCGGTAGAAGCACTGCCGTACCAGCAGCTGCAGGAGTTGTGACAGTAACCCTGTCGACTTGAATTCCGTCCAAGTAAAGTGGATCAAAACTCGTGTCCACTTCAATGACGGGCGTAGATGCCTCCACAATCGTAAATGCACCAGATATATTTTCGAGCATTGTCACTGACGCACTGTTCAACACCAGCGCTGGAGTGTTCGGAACGGGCGTCACCACCACTCGACATCTCGCAAATGTGGTGACTGTCGAGAGTGACCCAAACGCCGTATCGTTGATCGAGACTCTCGACACCAGTTTCATCGTGACGTTGAAGGTTTGTGCGACGTATTTGCGCGGCATCACCGTTATGACTCGGCTGAGTAAACACGACGGCTCCGCAGCGGGTACACACGTGGGACTCTTGCTCCCATGGAATTCGTAGTGCAGGTCGCTGAACTTCACCGTTGATCCCCACTGCGTCTCAGCTTCACCCGTCAGCAGCGTCGATCCAACAATCAACCCGTCCACAGCATTGTCAGCGATGAGCGCCTGCACGCTCACGAGATCATTCAGTTCGCTCATCAGTCCGAAATCTGATAGGGGGAACGTGACGTTTTGGTTGTCACCAACTTGGAAGACTCTGATAGATTTGCCGAAGCCCAGAGCTCCTCGGCCGGCCTCCCCAACCAGCTGTAGCCTAACGTTGGAAACATTTGTAAGCGTTGTCTGTCGGAGAATTTCCGTGGTTTTAGTCGTCACCGTTGTCAACACTGGTCCTTAGTATGAGCTCTTTCGGAAGCGAAGGTGGGTGTCTCCTGAAATGTTACCCGCCGAATACAGTCCGTACGCTCCAACCCCTCGTAGAGCAGCTTTGTTCACCGACATGGAAAGATTCGTCGACAATGAGTCCACAATACTTTGTGGGGCAATTGCCAATTGACTGGCCATACCCCCAGTAATGGATCGCCCCCACCCGTCGTACGGGAAAACACTATCAAACGTAAGCGAAATCGGTTTCCCCCCAACAACGAAGCCTCCACGTGAAGATGTAGCAAGAGAAGAGGACGGAACAATGGGTCGCGGATGAATCATGACAGGAATGTCCAGGATCACAATACCGTCGCTGGCGCCTTGATACGCGGTTCGGTTCGGAGTCGATGCAATATCGAAAGCCACCGTAGTTACGAGAGTGAATAATTTCATGTAGCCGTACCAATACTCCCGAGGCCGCACACTCACCACATCCCTTAGTGTGTACGGGATCACGTAGAGATCCACAGCTCCAAGTGTAAGTGCTGCCAGCCGCTTGAAGCCAGCGTAAATATCAGCAACCTGGGTCCTATTCTCCACGTAAAGGAGAAGGTGTTCGCGGTTTACAACTTCTTGCTGCGCATCCAGCCGCTGAAACGGCACCTGCACAAATTCGTTCCAGTATGCGTGAGATACTGAGTTCAAACGCACAACCGGATCCACCGGGGTCACGAGTATCGTTGCTACGACGGATATAAATTTCGTCTCTCCAGTTGCCAACTCTGTGGTCTTGACGGTCACGTTTACCATAAAGAACCCCACAAAATCCGCTCTAGGTACTACGGTGAATGTCTGATCCACGCGGAAGACCGGTTGTGAATCCACACGAGGCAGAACGGCCGTATCACCACCAGCAAGCAAGTTCTCTGATGCATTTGTCCCGTATAAACTCAACACTGCGGAACTATTCACCGCCACTTGCGCTGAAAGAACCTCCGATCCATCCGTGTCAATTGTCGAGCCAACCACTTCAATAGGGACAGCCACCAAAGGCTTTGTTGTAGTCGTCACTGGGTTCAATACTACATTGGCGACATGGCAGATCGGAGTAATCGACACCAGAACTTGGAGTGATCCTGCACGAGCGACAGTCGTGTCAGGAGCAACACCAGAGGCAAGTAAACCTCTTTCAACGGACGTGCTCCAGATGCTCAAATGCAGCTCGCCGCTGTATCCCGCTACCAAACCGATCTCCACACTGCCGTGCATCTCCACACCACCAGCACCGACCGCAACAACGCGCTGCGACGGCGCACCAAACACCATCGACGGCACCGCTCCGTCCGCTTTCGTCGAGAACGACGCCACCGACTCGCCCGATCGCCACGTCACAAATGTCACGTACCGATCGTACTCGCCCAAATCAACAACCAAGAACAACGCCTCGGACCCGTCCGCATCCACCAGCAACGCCGACACCGAGTCGCACACGGCCACGCCGTCTTCCACCGCGCTAAACGACGTCGTCGTCAGCGACACGAGTGGCACTGTCGCCACCGGGGTCACCGTCGCGCTCGACAGAACTTCGTACGTGTCCTCCGAGACGAAAGCGCCACTGCGGTCAATGGCGTGTGCAACCAGAGTGCATCCAATAACCCCGGAGAAGTACGACGGCGGACTCAGTTGCACACTTAGGTCAGCCTGCGTGTCACTCCGGTAAGTAGCAAGCGGACGCAACTCGAAGCTCGTCGTTGATGAAGTCGTATCCAATGAACCATTACTTGAAATACCGTCGACGGACACCTTCTGCCAGGAGGTACCTCCGCACTGAAGACGTAGGTACATGCTTTCGGACCCGTCGGTATCTCCGAGGGTCCAATTGCTCACTGTAACCACTGCGACGCCGTTCTCCACGATTGACAGCTCACCTGGAGATGCCGCAAACCTCGGAGCCTCCGCCACTGGATAGATCACCAGGGCCATCGACTGCGATGTCACCGTCATGGATTTCCACTGCGCAGAAGGTAGACAGCTGTAAACATCTTTGCTGCTGGAAGCACGTAGATAGCACTCGGAGCCAAAGAAGTCCGAGCCTATGTCCACTGTTGACGTTACCACCAGCACATCCACGCTCAGATTCCCCGAAATCCTTGCAATCGGCATCAATGACAACGATGTTGTCGTAACCTTGCCAACGCCTGACCCCAGGGTTGTTGAAAACGACGAAAGCAGGTGGCTGGAAATACCTGATGTACCTGTAGACCAGCTCTGGCCCAAGGTAGCATCCGCCGCTTGAGCAATATAAGCAGGTGGGTAAAACACTTGGACCCGGTAGTACAACTCCGCCTTCGTCGGCACCACCGTGATGTTGCCGTAGAACACGCCGCCCTCGCTGATCGACGCGTTCGACATCGCAATAGACAACGACGGCGGCTCCGCCACCGTCAGGAAATCCAAGCTCATTGCGACCGTCGTCGCGTTCCAGTTGCTGAACGCATATACGGACGCGCGGAGGAAACCTTCCGCGGGCGTCTAGTGGCTCGGACCAGCAGCAATATGCACAGCGTCCGAGTCAACCGGAAGCTGTACCACCACGTATACCACGCCGCCCAGCGTCTCCTTGCCGCTCATCAACACCGACGACCCATTGACAGACACTTGTCTCCGGTAGCAACACTTCCAGAGTCACGTTCATATCCGCAGCAGTGGCGTCCAGCTCCGCTACCTCGAGCTGCGAGATCCACAACACTGCCAACTCGTCCTCGTACACCCTAGAGCTTGCCTTCACCACGCCAAACGTAGGCGCCTGGGCGTGGTTCCACTGTGTTGGCAGAACGCTCTCCACAATCGACGCTGTCAGCCACGCATGCTCCTCTCCACTCGCACCGCTAACTGCATCACTCGACACAAACTCTGTCGGAATCAAGTTGCTCGTCACTGCTACCGACTGCATCGTCACAGGCAAACTACCGACGTAATCCGTAGGAGGCAGCACCGCGAAGGTGCCGTTCAGACTAATACTCCCCGCCTTCTCATCAATCGTGAACATACCATTCGATGGCCACGGAGAGCTGCCAACGCCCGCACTGCCCCCGCTATACAGCCAGAACAACGGCGATTGCGCGGACACCACAGCGTCTGCGTTGCTGTCCACGTCAACGAGTAATGACACGATCTCAGTGCACCACGTGCTCGGTGCCGCGCTGTCGCCCACAACAATGCCCAGTTCGCGGTTGAACCCCAGGTGGACCAACGCAGATCCGTTCGGCGCCGAAGTGAAGAAACGACTACTCGCCACAGGAACCACTGATACCCGAAGATTGGCCGCAAGAAGATACACTTGGCTCGTCGTCGACGAATGCGCCTCCACCGAAAGCGACACGGTCAGCTCGCCGTAGTAGCCTTGGCGGGGAACCACGCTCACGTTCTCTGACAACTCAAATTCAAACGACTGATCTGGGGTGAGAGCAAACCCGAGTCGCCGCCAAAGGAATGCGGTGCCGCTGTCACGCTCGCATCGTCCACGAACACCGCATCGACGCGGCCTGCGTCCCAGGCGAGCCGGCACGGACCGTACTGCAGCCCGTCCTCGGCAGCCAACGGAACGCCTGCCAGTAAGCTTGCGCGAATACTGCTCAGCGGAATCACCACAGCCGTGTTTTCTTCAGCCTCGAACCAAACGTCCAGCGGCGTCGCATAGTACACTGCGGGCTCTGGCGTCCACCCCACCTCGGCCGTGTACACCGCAGTGGCCACAGTCGCATTCGTGGTGGACATGTTCGTGTAGTAGAGCTCGCGGGACGTCGCGGTGAGAGATACGCTGAACGTGCCAGAGAACGCAGCGTCCAATGCCACCAGCCTCACTTCTGCGTCAACGATGCTAGCGAGTGTCGACGTCGGCACCGGTAGCGCATACGCAACGGACTCCGAAGTCGTGTCACCGTTGGTAGTATCTGGCTGCTGCAACTGGCTGTTGAAAAACACTGCCAGTGCTTCCGGCCCCACCTGCGCAGACAGCTCGACGGAAAGCTCCTCCGAGCCATCCAGATCTTGCAGCGTGATGGCGTTGACCGAGACTATCAGCGCCGTTCCATGCGGAGGCGTGACTCGGGCAACGGTGGCATTCAGGAGAGGAATTGTCGCTACGGGCGCTATGAAGAGATCCACAGTTACAATTAGCGTAACATTAGGAAGTGCTCCAAACTGGCGGTGGCTTGTGGATGTCTCCCCAGCCGGAATGTTTTTGTCTTGAAGAATAGCTTTCAGCTGGACGGTTGCGTACCCAAAGTAGTAACGATTTTCTGGTACAAGTTGATATCCGTTGAACTTGTCAGCTTGGACAGCAAACGCAAGCGGAGTCGACGAGATGTATAACAGGAAATCTCTTCGGTAAGCGGGATCCACGAACACGGTTGAAATAAGTTCATCCAACGTCTCCTCCGATATGGTCGTGTTGTGGCTTTCATCTCCAAGTAGATCCATCGAAACTGGATCGACCTCCTTAGGGGCTGGCAGCCAATACAACAGCACCTTGATTTCGACCTCCAGCTTCATCATGGAATACTTTTCCGTAAATATATAGGCAAAGGAAAGGTTAGTCACGCCTGAGAACCCATCGGCTGGAGCAACTAGTACGAAATTGCTTTCACTGACGTCCTTCCGCGCAATAGGCAAAATCACATTGGTATGGTATCGCTGTAATCGTGTCGTCAAATTCCGCCCGTCAACCGTAAAATTTCGAATGCCGTTGAAACGAACGCCCCGCAATTCACTGTCGACGAACCAAGTTCCACTGTTGTTGCTCTGTTCTAAAATGCTCGCGATCATCCCAACTGGATCTGCGGGTAAATGAATCGGGGTCTCCTACTCGGCCTCAAACACCAACGCGTCGTTTAGCGCGTCAACAAGAAGTATCATTGGGTCGAATACGAAATGGGTTTTGTGCTGAAGCTGTACCACAAAGAGATCCCCAGATACAACGTCCAGCAGTGACACATTCACCGACAAGTTCACTGGTTGCAGTCCGTTCCCACGCGGGGCTAGCACTAACTCCGAAAATTCCATCCAGGTTGAGTTTGGTACTTGCACAGTACTGCCAACAGCCCAGTAGCGATGACTTCTGGTTCGATAGAGCAGTACCCAATTGGACCATTCTGGTAGCGCCATGCTCATATTTAAAAAAAATCCACACAACGCCAGACCGAGACAGCTCCATCACTCCACGATCCAGGGCAGTAGAAACATACCTTCTTGGGAATAAGCTCACAGTTTCATTCTCCAAAACCACCGACTCCATGGTGAACGGTCCGACGTATTGGGTGGCGTTGACCGTGTCATTGGTTGGAACATCAATGGTCTGAGAATTCCACACAACACGAAGAGGACGCGCCACCTCGACCGTCTCCATCGAGCTAACCTTGGAGTGGAAAGCAAGCTCCACGGATCCGTTGAAAATCCCCATGAACGAATCCTTCCGATGCAGCTCCAAACCGTTCAAGCTAACGTTTTCGCCGTTCGTACCAGCTAACTCGAGGGGAGAGATACGACGAGAAATCAACTCCACCACACGGCCACCGCTGCGCACAGCAACATTTAATGGTGATCCCAACCGATCAGCATTCGTAATTGCCTTGGCCACAGCTACTCCATGCAAACTGACATCCAACGGACCAGTACTCCGACCACACAGCGGCGCTGTCCAGCGACTCGCTCAGCACGTTCAATGCGCTCAAAGACAGCAGCGCCGGCTCGTCCTCTCTGCTCTCCACCACCAACCGCTGCGACATCACCGCCGACGACACCAGCGAGCGAGGGTCTGGGATGCTCCGAACCACATGCCACACCTCCACCACCACAGCGCGCGACGACACCGAGTCCACCAGCGTCACGCTCGTGGACACCGTCACGGTCTGCGACTTGGCGGTGCGCGGCGCCAACACCACCTCGGCTGCCTTCAGCTGTGGTGTAGCGGGATCGGCCAAAATCTGGTTAAGGCCTGATCGAGCTTCCCATCAGCGCCCAGACACCGACTAACGGAGGGGTTCCCCCAACGATCCGTGATCGGCTGAACTTGTTCTCACCTTGTGTACCCGTCGGTGGGCTGGATCTGCTCTCTCGGGGCTCCGAAGATGCAGCACTTGGTGAAGATCGAGTGTCTTGGCGTGACGCGGGGATAGTTTGTGGAGCAGCGCGGTAGTCTTCGCTCTGCGTCCGAGTATACGCTCCGATCGAGGGTTGTTCGCTGCGATCGGTCGGCCTGGAGTTGATCCAAGGTCTGTGATTGCCTTTCCGGGTGTGTTCCTTCCTTTCCTAAGTTGCTTGCCGCTTCCTATAGCGGGATCGAGGTTGATCGAGAGGAGAAACGGTCGCCGGTCAAGCACTAATACCCGGTCGATCGAGGACTTGCACACAAGAGATAGATCACTAGAGTAGGTCAAGCTGGCCAATGTATTAATCCAGTCTTAACCGTACCGCTAGTTCACTACCCAAAGTGTCGACGCTGCCGAGGCCAATGTAGTTCCTGGGACTTGGTGACTTGATGGGACTTGTGGTCTTCGGTGCAAATTCTGCTCTGATTTATGTTTAGCTGGTCTCTCCCTAATGCTACCATCTTGCTTACCCTCCTACAACCACACGATTACTGGATTCTTGTCCCGACTTCGTCCTCCATGTGCGTCCCATCCTGGTCGATCCACGATCGGCCCCGATCGGTGATCCACGATCGACCTCGATCGGCGATCGGCGATCAACCCCCGATCGATGACTTATGCCGGTTGCCATGCGCCGCCGATCCATCACCTTCTGTCCTCGGCCATCCCAGATCCGCGAGTTCCGTCGTCGATCTGGACTTGGGTCGGCTCCGAATCACGCCGCGGTTCGAGCACGATCACCCAGAATCCGGCTTGCCACATGTCCTGCCTCACGCGCCGGCGTCATCGGACCACCTGAGATCTCCCGAAGAACTCCTTCTGATCCGTAGATCCTTGCGGCCTGTCTCTCGATCGCCGATCTCCCACGCCTCCAGTCGATCGGCCCTGCCGCCTTTCTCGGAGAACAATTCTTATTCAGCACTTCTCCACATCCGCCCCCTGACCGTAAGTTGTGTCGCACGGCGGCTCACTTCGGACAGTTCGACCTTGGTCATTCTCCAATTCGCCGGTCCA